CCACCGTTCGGATTATATGCGCTCCCGATTAGAGGAAGAGGGGAATCACCCGAAACAACGAGACTGGTTCTCGTGATTTTCACTCGATCACATGGCCGATTCAACACCATCTAGCCGCCGCCGCGTATCTGGAATACTGCAAGCTTCGGCAGACACTGGTTGTCGACAAAGACCAACGATCTCTGCTCCTAATCCTGCTTGTCCCTCGAAACCGGCAACCGGCTTCGGGGACAATTGTGTTGGGGGGCAGAGGGGGAACTTGAAGCAAGGATGGTATTCGCCAAAACACGATGCAGAACGAGGGAGGCAATACGGGATATTGTACGGCACCCACTGCTGAGCAGTGAACGACACACAACATGATCGCCTCCTCTCTGCCGTGTCAAGTTTGCCTTCTGGCTTTTTCAGCCTCTCAATACCACCGACACAATTCGACAAATCTGGTGAAGCGACTCTATCGATTATCCTCGTGGACTCTCGGGGGCGGGATTACTGCTGCGGCGTATGTCTTGCACGCACTCACGGATCAACTCGAGTCCCGCTAGTCGGGATGGATCCGAGGGTGTCGTGGCTATCAGGCTTGCGTTTTCCGTAGGTCAGGTCAAAGTTCATCCCGGTGTGTCCAGTCAGGGGAGTCAAGGTACGAGGGCGCTTTCACCAGGTGATTCGGTGAAAATATGGGAAATGGAACTGGCTAGCGGGCAAACGAATGCGGTTCATCTCACCGCATGCCAAAGCTTCTTCGCACCTCATACTGGTGATCTGACGGTCTTTCGATCAGCCTCGCACAGCTGGGATGGGGAAGAAGCAAGGTAGAGGCCCATGATCGGAAAGAAGAGGTCCTGGCCGCTGGAGAATATGCCACACCTTCTGCGCTGTTTGAGCATGACGGTCACTTTCGCTGTGCGACTTGGCTTGTCGTTGTCATTCCGTGTTTTGATGGCGTGTGCATGTAACTCGCCGGGAATTCTTCACATGTTCAATTATCTCGGTCATGGGTCTGGGATGCTGGTTTGGGGTTTTTGGATACTCGCTCTGTGAGCGAGTTGAGACGTGTGGTAGATACCCTGGTGGTTTTGGTCTATACGTTTGTCATGGAAGTAGGAGTAGCTATACCAAGTTGCGGATATCACATCTCTGAATATCATCTATCTCTCTACTCAAATTGTCTGTGTCCGTCGTGATTTCCGACTACCACTCTCTCTTCCCAATATTGCCATGGAATCTCTGAAAAGCTCGGCAGGTATTCTACCCTTTGTTTGCAAGATTGTGACGATCTCCCACTTCGGCTCCGAAAATGAATAACGAAAAGGTAAAAGTCGTTACAGTTACATGGGTAACGTTACCCCTCGCCCCCCCCGTTCGGAGCAAGGGAATAGTGTACACCGTGGATGAAAACTTTCAAAAGCTGATGGTGACAGTACGGGAACAGTACCACGCTAACTGTTTTGCCTAGCTATAAGACCGTCATCTTCACATGCTAGAATGCCAACCGTTGTGGGTAATGGACGCGTGGAACGATTACCGCACTTAAACTATATCCAAAGGCAAAATTTCAGATATTATTCTGCAATAACTGCTGTCTTACAACAGGAGGGTGGCAGGCTGGTTCCGAACTGAAAAGCCGCGATCAACCGAACAATCCGAAGTGTGTGTAAACCTGTGCCGCAGCAAGCAAGCGCAAAAAAGCCATGGCAAAAAAATTCTTAAAAGTGTCGATCTGAGTGAGATCTTGGGGTCCGCTGATGGCCAAGCATGGTTCAAGGTCAAGGATGGTCAGGAAGGGCCAAGAAAGCGTAAGCCGACCAGTTAAAAGCGAGGGCAAGGGATATTCAGGTCTTGCCTTCCTTTTTTTCCTTTTTTTTTTTTTTCCGTTCGCCGTTCGGGACGCACCGAGGGGGGGACCGTTCGCTGTGACACTGAGACATTCATTTCACCTCGCGAGCGGACTTGTGTAAGTATTTCTTCTTGCCTTTTTTGCCTTCTATCTGGTACTCGAAAAATCCGAGTACATGGAGGGAAAAGGGAAAGCTCGAAAGCACGTGCGCTGGATTCGATGCGGTGATGAATGGACTGTCACCCAGGCAGGGCCGTCACGGTGACTGTGATGACTACAGTACACTACTGATGGAGGATCGTGAGAATTTGGGTGATAGTGGATAGGGCCATGGGAGCAGATGGTGACGGTTACAGCGCTAAACTACACAGTGGACGAAGCTAGTATCGGATATTGCTCCGACCTCCGATCTCTTTTTGCTACGCAGTACACGTACACGCGGTAAGATGAAGCAAAAATTGGGGTTTAATATACCTCGACAAGACAGTTCACGATAGCGTATTTAGCGTGATGATCTTCAGAGTAAAGCTCACCTCACTATCGCCAAATTTGGCCAGAATCTTGACCTCTCAAGAAGGGTTTCACTCAACGCACAAAGACGGTGAATGAGTGAGACATTCCGTAGAATGAGTCCGAATGGTGTTGGTGTTAGGGGTCGACTGGAAATTGCTGTAAGTGGTAAGGTAGGAAATTACAGTAAAATAAATGAAAAATAAGAAACTCTTACCAGATTTTCACTCACGTGCCTGGTCCCACCACCTTCAAGTACATACCAAAGCCAGCTTTCCTACTAACGTACAGGCAAAAGTTGCGGTACGGAGGTACCTCGGCAGGTCATGACGGAATCGTGCACGAATCTTTTCAGAAATTACGATAAGGAGAAGCGTAAGGAAATGAAAAAATGGCAGATTTACGGAAAATATCGACCCCTAGTTGGTGTTGGCCGTTAGCGCAATCCTTCAGTGTCTTCCATGAATCAAGGAGGATTGCTCGTTCCTTCCACACTGCGCCTTCATCAAAAGACCCAATATGGCGTTCGCTACTGCCTTAGTCACTATCAAGAATTCACGCTCCGTCGGATCGGAATAAGAACTTGAATATACACTAGCTCGCTGCTGACTGCTGATTGCAATCTAGAAAAGTCACACAAACAGGTTGGCAGATGAACTAAGTAAATTATTCCGTTCCGCCGCCGGCGTCATCTTTTTGGTCCTCCTTTCACAACAGCAGCAGCAGCAGCAGCAGCAGCAGCAGGATCGGAGCACCTTCCGCAAATTGCGTTATCGTCCGTTCGTCCCTTACCTTCGCATGCTTTCATAGCAGTTGTGCAACAGTAAACACTTTATCATGCAGTTGCTGAATCTGCTGATGCACTTCATATTAATGAATGTGTTGATAGAAGCACCGAGATATCCGGCCGACGGACTGTGAAGCTTTGCAAGGACGGAAAATATGGGTGATGAACAAAGCCTCCGGAAATAATCAAGCAGGTGTGAAGAAAGGAAAGGGTTACAAAAAGAGGAAACTTCCAGTTGCGAAACGGAAAGTGCCCAGAGCATGGGGATTTTAGTTTAGCGCCTAGACTTAGCGCCCCAAGCGCCTGCGGCCTAATCAGCAACCGCTGTGGGCCCCTCCGCCTCCCCTCCCGTTTTCTAGGCTGTCGTCCGGTCGGGCGGCCGGGGGCGGGGGTGGGGTGGAGTTCCGGGGTGGGCGGTCGCGGTGGGGTTGTCGGGCTTCCGCTTTCAAGGGAGGCATCAACGGAGATAGGTATTCTTCCCTCGCCCGTGGTCAAGAAAGCTCAAGAACAATCGCAGCAATTCTTCCTGAGCTACACAGATACGATTTTGCGGCGCTGGCTGTGCAGTGACGGAGTGTCAAGCCACACCAGCAAAAGCTCGTTCGCGTTCGTGACCTCGACACATCTCCTTTCCCTTGCAGAGGGGATGATCAGAACGGGTGACAGCATTGCAGTCAAGCATTTACATGCAACATACCCAGCCACTTTTGCCCGGCTTCGCTGCTTACTTACCTGCAATGCCAATCCGGCCTCGTCTGCTCACGACAGCCTCTTATCCTACCTACGATGTGGATTGACTGATCTGCTACCCGGTCAGCCTCTTATAGCTTGTACGGTATGCGCAGGCATGTATAAGCACTCGACACTGGAAAATGTACAAGCCCCAATTTGACTTCTGACATGCGTACGCAGACAAAACAAAACAAAACAAAACAATAAAAAACAAAACAAAACAATAAAAAACAAGACAAGAACAGAAAAAGACCAGTCAGTAAAGGTATCTATATACTTGCCACCGTCTTTTGTTTATAAGCCTAGGCAGATTCGCAAGGTTTACACTTCCCCGTTCACCCGTACCCAAATATGCGCCCGACGTCAAGTTGGGTAGTTGACCCGATGCTGTGGTCAATCAACGTTTCGAACCGAATACTGTTCTTTGTGTCTGTGTCTTTCTCTTTTCCTAGTTACACCCCCCGGTAACACAAAAAGAACCGTTGAACAGGAACGCCGACACTTGTAAGTACATACCTACCTAGGGAAGTTGAAGACTCAGGAATGAGGAGGCGGACGCACAACCGCAAGCAAGTAAGGTTGCGGAGCTTACAGGATCTAATTTTTACACAGCTAGGCGGCTGAAGAATGATCACCTACCTATGTACATGAAGCGAAGTACGTGTCACCGAGACTCTTTGTAAACTCTTGTACTACATACCGCTATAGCATGGCAGGATACATGGCACAGGTCCCAGGCACTTTCCTATGGTGAAAGCGAAGCAAAGCGAATATAAATATTCCCAACCAAGTTTATTTGGTTCTTTTGTTGGTCTTCCTCTTCCTAGCGCTGTAGGTTCTCGTGTACATGTAGGTCTAGGAGCGTGCAAAATGACGCTTAATATATACAAGCCGACAAACAAGCTGTGTTAGTGGCACTGCGTTAAAGAAGTACGCCCGAGAGAGAATATTTCACCGAGGTGTGAGTGAGTGAGCGACCGACATTTTCTGTGGAGGGTAAAAAGGCCCGAGGACGACATGGAACTTGTGCTCAGGATCAAGGACGGGACGAGAAAGACAATACCATTCAAGACTTTTCGTATGTTCTACTTAGTACACTTCTATCACCACCGTCCAGTTAGACACAACAGCCGCTCACAACGCCGCCGCAATCTCCAACAAACTACCATGCAACCCTCCCTTCTCGCCCACTTCCCTAAACTTCTTCAATGCCTCCCCAACCACCGACTCAGCGCCGACAGCCTTAACAACCGCAACCGCGCAAAGCAACACCCTCGCACAAGCTGCAAACACATGCTGATCGCTCGTCCACCCCAGGGGGCCATCATTGTTCTCCCGCACCATTCTGACAAGATACTTCAGCCCTTCCTCCGTCCACTTGCTCAGCTTGGCGAACGCAGGCCCGGACGTCATGTTGTCAGACCCAGAAGCACGGGCAATGAGCTCCCGCTGCCAACGTCTCGTCTCCCTCACCTCATCAATAAACAGATTCTGCTCTTCAGTAGCAAACAGTGAGTCGTCGAATTGCAAAGCAGTAAGGAGCTGCTCTGCCGCGGAGGTCAGATCAGTAGACTTCTCAGCAACCGGTGAGCTCCCAGTTGTGAGAATGGAACACCAAGTGATCTTGGAACTCGGCTTCACCAAAGAACGTCTCGGACATCCAGACCGCTAGACGATCAGCTGCCGAGGGGGGCACCATCTGCTGCCCAATGACGGGCGCGGCAGCGGCCGAGGCAAGGTCGCGGACTTCATCGTCGTCGTCGATCAGGGCGTCGTAGAGCGCTGAGAGAGCAGGGATGAACGCTGGGGACCAGGTGGGGCACGAAGCCGGTGAAAAAAGGAGGTCAGAGAGGACGAGGCCGCGTAGCGTGTGTCGAAGGTGTTGTCGATGTCGAGCGCGTCGGCGATCATGGCGCCCCAGGCCCGGAGGCGTTGGGCCATCTGGTTGTCGATCTCGCCGCTGGCGGCAGCGCTGCGAAAGGCAAGGGCAGCCATGAGGGAACCGCTGGCGCGGATGATGGCGCAGGAGAGGTTGGGGTTGATCTCGCCTTGTTGGAGATCCTTCCAGATTTGTTCGACCGTGGCCATGAAGGACAGGTTGAGGAGCTCGGCTTGACGGCCTTGCTGGAGAAGGGTGTCAATGAGATCGCCGAGATTGGTGATCGCCGCTGCCTTGATGTCGGGGGTGGCGGCGGTGGTGGTGCAGACTTCGGCGTAAAGGTTGGCGAGACCCTCAATGGTTTCGGGGGTGGAGATGGACTTCCAGGCGGCAGGGACCATCTCGAGCATTCGGTGAGTGGTGTTGATGTCCTTGCTGAGAGTATGCAAGAAAAGCGCCCGGAGGACCTTGGTGTCGGCGACTGCTGCAGCGTGGTAGACGCTGGCAATGACGGCCTCGCTATCTAGAAGTGCCGAGGATGGGTATTGTTTGGTCTTCTCCATCACCGTAGCCGAATCGGAGCCGGGAGTGATGGCGATGAGTTCGAGGGCTGACTGGTTGACAACGGGATCGATGCTGGCCAGAATGTTGAAGATCTCAAGGTAGGCTGCTTTGACGACGGGGCAGGTCTTGAAGTTGTCACTCTCATCTGCGAGTCTCCGGAGAAGAACCTTGAGCTTAGATGTATCTTCGGAAACATCAGCGCCCAAGCTGGTCTTGCGCTCCAGAACGAATCTCGTTAGCAGGAGGACACCGTGGATGCGGTTGGCGCGATCCTCAGACTCCTCGAGGAGCCGCTGAATTTTTGCAACCCAGTTGCCCTGAAGGAGAAAGGAGCAGAGTGTCCTGGCAGCAATTTCTCTGACGTGCCAGAGGTGGCTATCGAGGTAGCCTTCAATATGACCCTGGAGTTCGGCGCGGTAAGACTCAGGAGGGCCGGCACGGCGGATGATGTCCAGTGCTGGGAAGACGGCCTCCGCGGCGGCTGTCTTTGCATCCTCACCCAAAGCCTTATTGGCAGACTCTAGGAGCCCCAGAATAACACCCGGTAATGTTGGGTACTTGTTGTAAGAGATGCGGACAGAAACACCGTCCCAACCCGACTCGATGATGGCCTTGCTCTCGCCTGTTCCAAGCAAGCAGTCGATGAGACTCCTCAGCAACAGGAGACCGCAGTTACGAATGGCCCATCTGTATCTCGTTAGCACTCGAGCTGAGCCAGGGTGTATCTTTACGACTTACACTTCGGACTTCAGGTTGTTTGCAGCCAGCTGCAAAGTCCTAGCCAGGTAAGCCTCGGCCTTCTTACTCAACAAGGAGCTCTTGAAAATCTCCCTCAGCGAATTCAAAGCGTGCACTTGTGGCAGGTTCGATCCATCGGTTTCCGCCTGGGTGACTGGCTTCTTGCCAATTTCCTCGAGCTCGCTGAAAACCTCGTTGAACGAGGGTGATTCGGCATTGGCTGTCAGGATGCCGGCAACTAGGGACGGAATACCCGCAGAGCGACGGGTGGTGGAGGCCTGGCTCATGATGCAGTTGATTGTGCCCTTTGAGCAGTCAGCATAAAGAAGTCAACAGCCGCGATAATTCCTCAAAAAAAAAAAAAAAAAAAAAAAACGTACCTTGTACCATTCGCGAAGCAAGGTGTTGGAGCCAGCAGTCTCGGGGAAGACAACAGGCAGGTTCTGACTAAGCTGGCAACATGTGGTGAAAGTAAGAGAAACCGTAGAGAAAGCACCACGATGTCTCAAGCTGGAAAGCTGCTCAAACGTCAAGTAGCCGGTATCTTGGAAGACAGCCAAAGGAGGGAACGGCACTCCCGGAGCGGGAGTGAGACGCAACGTCTGGAGCATCAGTCGCAACAGATTGCTCGACTCGTGAACAGCGCGGAAGCTGTAGCTCAACAGGTCTTTTGTGTCCAAACCCTCGATCTCCTCCATTTCCTCGGGCAAGTGGCCTTCCGGAGAGTCATCGCACAGCACGTGTCTGACTGCTAGCCAAATACGCTTGGCACAATCGAACACACGTTGGTACAATTGATGGATAGCTTCCAGTTGTGTTTCCGAGAAGGTCTCCTTAGCCAGCACAGGCCAAGCATAGCTGATGGCGGCAAAGTCTGGATGCACTGGGTTCTCAATGGCAGCGTGGCCCAGGTCCTTCTCCGCCTTTGTGACCTTGTCTTCAAGACCACTGATGATCTTGGAGATGTGAGCAATCTGGAGATCCGCACCATCCAACCATCGGCACAAAAGTCCCTGAGAGCGAGCAGCGCCGTCACCATGATCAGCACGACCGGTTCTGTCTGCCAAAGCCCGAGCTTTGAGGCAAAAGTCTTGCAAAACCTCGAGTTGGGTCTTGCTGTTAAGATTGGGTTGTGCGGGAGACTTGATGATTTCTTGAGAGAATAGACCCAAAAGGTTAGAGGCGGAGTCTCTGACGTCGTCAAAGGGGTCCAGAAGAAGATCCAGAAGAAGGCGGATCCATGTGAAGTCCGAGGATATTGACTTGGAAACGTCGTCATCAACAGCATCATCCGTGGCACCAGCGTGCTTTCCGACCTTCAACGCCAGGAGTGCCGCTCTCATGGCTGTAATGTGGCGTTGGTAGGATGCCGTAGGCAACAGTTCACCCTTCAAGAACTCAAGGTACCAAGCGAAGAAAGCCTCGTGGCGGTCAAGTACCTCTTTGGCCTCGGCGGGATTCTTCAACAAGTTCTCGGGAGCGGGCTTCTTCTTGGATGGTGTTGTTCCTTGTCCGCGGGCGCCTGATTTTGCTTGGCTGCTGCTTGGGCAAGACTCCTTTGGGCGACGGAGATGACGTTCTTGACACGTCGGATCAGGTTTTTGGTATAGCCGAGGACCTCGTTACGCAACTTGGCGTCAAAGTCGGCATGGAAGGCGGCGAGGTGTTTCCTGAGTAGGTCAAACGCTATCCGGGAGAAAGGCTTTGTGGTGGCCTGGGATGACACTAGCAAGGAGAAAGCGCTGGATCTGACGGAAAGGGAAGGATGGGTGAGAAAGCTTTCAAGGACAGTATCCCGTAGAATGACTTTGCTTGAAGACTGAGAAGCGTCATTATCATTGCTGGGTTCTTCGACCAGACCGAACCGCTTGCCAGTTTCGAGTGTCGCCAACTGGAGCAAAAGAGTTAAATCGGTTAGGTCCTGCGTGGATCCGACGGGAATCTCACTGCGGTTGAACGCCTCAAGCAGCTTCAGAGACTCGACCTTGTCGGTCTTGAAGATAGGCACCAAGACGTAGTTCTTGATATCCTCCAAGACCGCTGGCCTTTGAGCAACGGCCTCCTGTAACCACGTCTTCCAGACTTCGACAGTGAACCTTTGATCCTCTTGCGCGACAGCCTGGCTAGTCAAGCCCTTGAAGATGTGCACAAGGCATTTGCCGGCATGGGGGCAGACGTAGGGAAGCTCCATCCATGAGAACAACTCAAAGACAAAGGATTTCCACAAGGAGAGATGGGCTAGGTCGGCCACAGAAGAGTCGACCACACGATACTTGCGGGCAACATCGTCGAGGGTGAGAACCTTTTTGTTCAAGAAGTGGTCCAGACATTGCAGACCGGACTTGGTCAACTGCATGGCAGACTTGCGAGTGACAATCTCCACGATGGTCTTGAGGATGTGCTCCTTTACTGCCTTCCCTGTCTCAGGGTTGGGATTGATGGTCGCCGACGCCACAAGGACATCGAGAATCAGTCTCAGGGCACGATGAGGGTCATGTTCATACCACTCAAGGTAGAAATGGAACAGTTTCGTTGAGACGGGCTCGGTGAAGGCCCATTCCTTCAGCTTCAGGTCCTTGGCTTTGGCACATTGCTGAACAAAGCTGCAGAGCCTGACGACATCGTGACCGTTTCCGTGATACTGGCGAGACTCGGAGGCGTTGCTGAACAGCCTGGCAAATACTGCCTGTGCGATGCTAAGATTGGTGTTAGTGACTGGCTAGGTATGTGCATATGTTGATCGAGTGAGAGTGTCTCACAGAGTATGACCAGAAAAAAAGATAAAGAAGAAAAAAAGACCTACACTGGGAGTGACTCTGTCGGTTGTAACAACAACCACTTGGTTATGGTGTTGGCATTTTCAAAGACTTCGGGGCCCAGTCCGGCTAACAAGGCGTCCGTGTCAACGGTGCTGTTGCCGGGGGCATTTTGCTGAACTTTGTTTGACTCCATCCCCGCAGTCCAAAAGGGAAATTGTGATTGATGGACTGAGTTTAGAGGTGCATCCAACACGGGCAGGCACGGTCTTGCAGAGTGGATGATTGGAGAAAGAAAGGCAATGAAGACGGAAGGAGCGAAGAAGAGCAAGTCGCAGTCAATGGATGCCCCTATTGAAATCGATCGCCTGAAGTTTACTGTATCTTGTGTATGAATCCACCTGAGTGTTTGGACAACTCAGGCATGTATGAGCAACGAGTATGAAATTTTGGGACATTCAAAGGCTTGTAGCATCACCCACTGTTTGTTTACACTCGCCGCGCAAATCCTGGGGTGAACCCACTCCGGCGACCGTGCTGTTTTAACAGTCTGGAGTTGCCTGCCGCCCTGCCAAGAGATACTCATACCTTGTATTAATACTGGATTACAAGCTTGTGAAAGATACAAAGGACAACGTCCAAAGAGCCTGGAACGGAAGCATGGAAAAAGGCATCTGATCAGTTGGCAAGATGAGATTGATTGAGAATATAATTTCAAGTAGCCTATGAGGTGCTGCCTTTTTCGGCATGTCCAGACGTAAAAGCTTCCGGTGACTTCCATTTTGTTTGACAAAGTCGACATGCCGCCAAACCCAAGCCTAACAGTGACACAATCACTACGCACGGGCCACCTACATGACAGGTGCGGGAGCCATAAATTTTTTCGAATTATCGGTGCCAAGCCGAGCGCAAGTTGCGGAGCCAATTCGAGATTCCATCCGTCTCCGTCCAGGTCCTGCACTTCAACATCCCGCCCACCCGTCCGTCACTCCTCCGAAGATACGATAGCTTGCCGACGGCACCACCCACCCATCCTTCCCTCCGACCACCCGTCACCACTTTTGCGCGCAGCAGTCCGTGGCCTATCTACTCCGTGTTTCCCACTGTTTAACGATTCAATAACCCCTCGAACCCCTCCACTTCCGTCACAATGTCGGGCCTCTGGAACACCCTCACCGGAGGCAACAAGAAGCAGCAGCAGCAGCAGCAGCAAGAGCCGTCCGCGCCCGCCCCCAGCGCACCCCAGACAACCACCACCACCGCTCCTTCATATCCCTCGCCCTTCGATGCTAGCCAACCTCAAGGCGTCGAGGCCTTCCTCGGCAGCTCCTCCTTCGCCGACCCCACACAACTACACCCCCTCGCCGGCCTCAACAAGGAAACACTAGAATACATCTCGCTCGAGGACACCCCTCTGCCCGACGCCGCCGCCGGCTCAGCCCTGCCCTCGCGCGGCTTCACCGACGACCTCTGCTACGGAACCGGCATTACCTACCTGACGGCCCTCACTCTCGGAGGCGCATGGGGGTTGAACGAGGGTCTCAAGAGATCGGCCGGCCAGCCGCCCAAGCTGCGTCTCAACTCCGTCCTTAACGCTGTCACCCGTCGCGGCCCCTTCCTCGGCAACTCGGCCGGTGTCGTCGCCATCTGCTACAACCTAGTCAACGCTAGCATTGGTTATGTGAGGGGCAAGCATGATGCCGCCAACACAATCCTGGCCGGTGCGCTCAGTGGTATGCTCTTCAAGAGCACCAAGGGTCTGAAGCCCATGATGATCTCGGGAGGTGTCGTTGCGACGATAGCCGGTGCTTGGGCGGTATGTTACCAAGTTGCTATGGTAGACGGGAAATCAACACCACTTGCTGACTCTGTTATGTCTCTAGATCACCAGGAGGACATTCTTCCCCTCCCCCCAGACCAACGAGGTTGACTGAAGCGGAGAGACGAAGAATGAAACAAAAAAAACATCTTCTGTTCCCTTCATCACACGACTCTTTGGCCATCGTTGATCCCTCCAACAAAAGAGCGCATAGCTAGCCAGCCTTCTCTATTACTTTAATCTTCGGAGAGCCGAGAGGGAAAAAAAAAACCAGAGTCTTTCTCGCCAGCAAGGAAGGACCTGCCGGAACATGTGTGTGTCCTTGGGTAAATACAGAGCAAAAGGACAGGCGCGGATTGGTGGATGTGTACGAACAAGAGAGGGAAGAGAAAAACCAAAGAAACACTGGGCTGGGCCGGGGCTTGAACAGGCAGGGTACGGAGGGTTGTGTGCATAGTGGTGCATAGCGCAAGGGTTAGTCGCATCTCTCTCTCCTCCCCATGTGTGTGGAAAATTGTATGTATTATAGCGGATCATATGGACATAGAGCGCAATTGCCCCGGTTGGGCATATGGGGCATTGCGGCAGGCTTCATTTCAGAACTTTGAATCGGTTGCGGGTTGTACATGACTGTTGGCTCCGGGTTGTATGACAAGAGAATAGGGGTAGGTAGTATCTGATGCGGGATGTATTGGGCATGTAAATCTGCCAGAAGTTACCATCAACATGGAGAATTACTGCAAACAGATGCGTACCTAGTCAAAAGGTTAAAACTCTCTCAAAAACAAAGGACTAAACAGCGGGAGGCACAACGCCCTCTATCAATCCAGCAAATTGAAAGACCACGATCGGCGGAGTAGTAAGGCCCTCTTGGTCTAGAACAAGTGGGTAGACTGAGCTGCTCTTCCCAGAGATCATAAATGCGTGCGATCTCTGGATGCTCAGTTGGTCTGCATGTACATCTCCATATTACAACGAACTCCCAGGCTCATGCAACCCATGCTCCGTTCCATAGGTTTGGCCATAAGCAGGAAAATGCAGTACCAGGGAGCATACGGGGAAACAGCATGACATTGGAACTCATCCGAGTCTGGTATGAAGATCAAAACGGGGATGTTACCTTAGGTGGGGCGGTTTGGGGCAGCGCAATTAGGAACTACAATGAAACTATACAGACGAGAAGTAGCATTCTCATTCCACTGAAGCTTGATCGAATGGCATGACCAGTATTTTGATGGCTTCCCTTACAGCCAAGGCTTACTTCTATGATTTACAAACACCAAAAAGAGCCTGCACGATCTGGTCGCCATGTGGACGTGGAGTGTCTGTGTCGTGCCTACCGCTTTAGGCGAGTTGGGGAGCCTCATTTTTGCCCCTGCCGTCCGGCAAGTCGGGTATCTTCCAGGTCATCAAGACGGGAAGGGAGGAAAAGGGTAAGGTACCCATAGTATAAATCGGATGATTGACTGCGCTTCCCCCTACTTTGACAGATTTTACACTTCCATTCAACTCCATCCCGTCCTGAACCCGCCGCAGATATTGGGAAGAAACACCATAACGGCCACAACTACGAATACCGAAAATCGAAAGCAACCAGAGCAATCAGGGAAGAAGCATACTAGTCATCATGTGCTGTTGCATTCCCTGCTGGCCTTTCGCCGACGTCGATTTCGAGCGCGAGCCGGTTAACCGGTACGGCGACAAGTATCACTACGTGTTCAACGAGAGCACGAGGGCCTGGGAGCTGCGCGAAGTGGTAAGTTTTTTTTGTTTTGTTTTCCTTGTTTCACAGTTTCGACCCAGACCTCGGGGAACAGCAGCAGTTTGGGTACATTAAGAGGTAAGGACCCTCAGGTTGAAACTATGGGCCACGAGAACATCGAAAGCAGCGGAAGACGTGTTTGAAGGAAGGAGCGTTTTTGGCAGAACCAAAATCACGAGGAGGACCCGACGACAGATCAAAGCCTCTTTGCCACAAGACGGGCTGCGAGTCTCCCATATCTTGCCGCGATCCCTTCACTCTCGCTCAGCTTTTGTGTTCCCCGGGCAACCTGTACAGCGGACCACTTCCCATTCACTTCCACTTGCCACTCACCCGACTTTCACGGATCCCACCTTTGAAATTACCCAACGACGGGAGGGTTCTTCAGCAGAGGATCACGCCCTAAAGCCCACCACAAGGCATACCTGAGACCAATATCAAAGGGACTGCAATCTTGGAATCTGGCAGCCGTGCTGGTGGTGAAGGTTTACCACGACTCCACGGCAAGAAGTGGACCTGGAGGCGCTCAACGAGCACCTTGGCGACCCGCCGCAGACTTACACCCATTGCACCTTCCCTTTCATTTCCTTCGACCACTCCTTCCTTGCGCACCCTTTCCTTACCAACAATCCTCTCCACTCAAGCCGGACCACCGCACCAGTCGGAAGTCCACCTTTGAGAGAAACCAGCCTTGCGTCCCCAAACCATCATGGGCGCGCATCCAGACAAGGACAACTTCAAATCTCCAAAGAGGGTTTCGTTCCAAGGCCTCGAGAAGGACGTCCAGCCACTTCCCCTCAAGTCCGCCCTGCGCAAGCGTCATTCGTTTGTTCAGGAAGAGTCACCTGCCCACGAAGAGCAGACCACCTCCAGTCCCGAGCACTACCCCGCCTTTCCGCCTGCCGACTCGGGTATTTCAACTTCCTCTCAGAACTTGTTTACCCATCACACGGGCCCGGAAGGAATCCAAAGCGACCCCAAGGCAGCTCAATACCATCCCTCCTTCATCCCCGCGTCACCTTTTCAACCTCGACAACTCCAACCGTGGCAGCTCGGCTACAACCAGCAAACAGCCCAGTGTCAGACCGTGATCCCTTACCTGCCGACAACATACCAAGTCAACATGTCGCAGTACGCCCTAGCTCCGGCCAACACTGGCGTTCACTTCCAGCCCCAGGTTGGCGACACCTCCACCGGCCCTGAGCTCCATTACTATACCCCGCGTCATGATGGACAGCTCGGCCTTCAGGTGCCTGTCCAGCAGGCCACCCAGTACATGGTCAGTCCGCCGTATACTCCAAACACAAGCATGATGCCGCAGCCCGTAGTTGGGATGCAGTACCCACTGCATAACCAGATTTCCTACCAGGTGCCCTACCAAAGCCAATACCAGATGGATTACCAGACCCAGTACCAGACCGGAGCCCATCAGGCCTGGGGCCAGCAACAGATGCAAACATTTGCAAGTGTAGCGTTTGCTTTGCCTTTTCACACTTGTGTTTTGAGTCACCATGGCTAGTGACTCAAGCGAACTGTTGGCTTCTCGTACCTAACTGCTTGTTGCTTCCCTACACGTTGACACTGACAAACGCGCTTTCAATAGCCGAATATTTGCTAACTGGTCACAGGCTACCGGAATGCCCGTTCCGATGCACGTTTCCCGCCGCCGCTCCCCCCGGCTACATTGTTCAGCAGCCGGTTCAGCAGCCGTTTCAACAGCAGCCGGTCATGCAGCCGGTCCTGGTCCAGGCCCAGCCTGTCCCCGGCCAGCCCATGATGATGGCTCAGCCTCAGCCTGCCTACGGCCCGGGCGCGACCGTCATCGTTGCAGGTAATGCTCCTGTTGCCCCTATGCCTGCGGCCCCCGGTGCCATTCATCCTGAGCCTGCTCTCGGTATCGGCCTCACTGCCGCTGAGGTTGCCGCGAATAACGAGCAGATTGCTTATGAGAACAACATGGATGAGGCACAGGATTTTAAGCCCGCTGACGATGACCCCTCGCGCATGTACCGCTGCCGTGAGGTCGACGGAACCTGGACCTTGCGCAACAGGTTCACCGTCGACAACCTCGGCGACTGCCGCTGGTACATGACCGACGATGGCGTCTTCTATGCCGTCCGCATGCAGTCCTAAGCCGGTGGAGGAAAGGAGACAGTGTTATCGGTAAGTCGCCCGCATGTGTTCGATTATGGTGTCGGATGCTAACATCTGTAGACACCATCACCATTCACCGTTGGCAAGGTTCGGCGTTTTTGCGGTTTCGGTCATTGGCGCTTGGGTTTGCGTCTTTTGTTTTCAGATTCCGGGGTTTCCCTCTCATTTTGTCATCAATCGGCTCAAATGGTTTTCCTTCAGTTGGAAGCAAAGAGATGCTTGGAGTTTCCGGAGGTAATAATCGTGACTGGCACAATGGGTCCGTGTCGACTGTTACCTAATTTAGTCCTTGCTTGACATGGCAAGCAGATGGATGCATGGAAAAAGTCTGGCAACTGGCAATTGCTTTTGTAGGACGTTTGATACTCATATATCGGTCCCTCTGCAGCATTGCTTTAATACATACCATGTTGCCTAATGTTTGTGCTCGTTGAAGCATGAAAACCGTCATCGCAAGGTCGTCGGATTGAGGTTGAATCAAAGGATGTCGTTCGAGTTCGGCTAGGAGCACCCCTTGTGATGAGTGAGGATGGAGATTGTCACATGCAAGGTGGTACCTGACATTTCACGTTGCTGGACAAACGGCGAGGTCTTCCTGTTAGTATTCTAGCTGCAGCACACTGTTGCTTAACAGACAATGCATGAGCTACACCCTGAACTTGTTAGTGCAATTTGCTACGCTGCTTCTACTGCAAACATCGACAACGAATGGAGCTCAGTGGGTACCTATCTGGATGTGTGGAATGTCACTCCACCCCCGCATCGTCTGAATCCTTGGATGGCGCAATGTTCCACTTGAACCAATCGTTGACACTTGTGCGACCCGCCCATTCTTGGAACATCAACGACATCAGATCATGAAGGATCTCAAGAACGGCATATAAAAAAACACTTTGAACCATCTACCACTCAGGCTATCAAACGGAAATCAACTACATACTTATATATACACTCAATCTTCACCAATTAACTACACCACAATCAATCACACACCCCGAACAAACCACCAAGATGCTCCTCATAGGCCTAACCGGCTCCATTGCCACCGGCAAATCAACCGTCTCCTCCCTCCTCTCCTCCCCGCCCTACAACCTCCCCATCATCGACGCCGACCTTCTCGCCCGCAAAGTCGTCGAACCGGGAACTGCCGGCTACAACGCCATCGTCTCCTACTTCGGTCCCACCACCCCCGACCTCCTCCTCCCCTCTGGTCCCGACATGCCCGAAAATGGTCCCAACGGAAAAGGTCGGCCCCTCAACCGGCCTGCCCTCGGCCGCCGCGTCTTCGGCGATAGCCCCGAAGTGCGCAAGGACCGCGCCCGTCTCAACTCCATCGTCCACCCGGCTGTACGCAAAGAAATGGCGCTGGCGGTGCTGAAGGCATACGTCAAGGGGTACAGAGCCGTGGTGCTGGATGTCCCGCTACTGTTTGAGAGTCAGCTGGATAAGTACTGCGGTACTGTCCTCGTGGTGGGGGTCAAGGATCCGCAGATACAGATGGAGAGACTCAGGGCGAGGGATCCGCACTTGAGCGCCGAAGATGCGGAGAATCGCGTGAGGAGTCAGGGAGATGTGAGGGAGAAGGCGGAACGGGCGCTGGAAAGGGGTGAGGGGAGGGGTGTGGTGGTTTGGAATGATGGCGAACGAAAAGAACTCGAGGAGCAGGTTAGGGAAGTGTTTTGGAAGGGGGTGGTGGAGAGGTTTAGCCCAAATTGGTGGGGGTGGTGGTTGTGGATGTGTCCGCCTGCGGCCGTGGTAAGCGCGTTGTGGGGTTATTGGGCGAATTTGGGGGTGGATAGGCGGTGGAGGGAGAAGAAGGAGGCGGAGAAGGCGAAGTTGTAAGTGAGGAGGCGGGCATCATCATTATCATCACTTGATGGGGACAGCTAGAGAGTAATGAGGGCAAGGTGGATACGAAGGGGTGGAATGACAGGTGATGAGTGAAGGGGACATTTTCTCGGTAAAGATGGATTATCTGGCGTGTTTGTGTTGTATTTTTATCTCTCAAGGTTTCTTGGGATGTCTTGCTTGGCGGGCGCCGCGATGACCTGCTATCTGTTCTCATTTTTCTTTTGCTTTCAAGGTTCGGCCCTCGTCCTGTTCGAGTATCGCTGGGTTGGCCGGTTACGATGACAGGGAAATAAAAGCCCGATTTGCAAGCATACATTCCAACTTTGATTGGAGCTCATATATATTCAAAGGTTAGTCTCAGAGCGTCGTAACTCCCTTTTCAAGCCCATGCTCTGACACTGCATTGGCAGCACTTATATACGCCAATTCAAACATCAAGCACAAACATGCCTAACGGGACTACATCCAATGAAGAACGGCGCTGGCAGGAGCGGAAGCACCGTTATGAGAAGGCCGAGAAGGAGGCTCGGCAGGCTTGGCTTCGTGGCCTATGGTAGAGAACGAGCAGGAGGCTGTTGTGGCTCTCGGGGAAGAAAAGAAGACCCAGACCGGGAAGCGCAGGGTATCTTTTGATTCTTCACGGGATCAGACTCGCCTATTCCGCGATCCGTCCCAAACCGGCTCTGTTGCATCTGCCGACTCTACCGATATCGGCGAGCCCCTCTACGTCACAGTGCCCTTAACCCGTGAAAGACACGAATTTCTTGTTAAGGAAGTTACGTCCTTGTGGGCCGGGTTTGCCGAGCTCAATGCTGTCCAAGCCAACGAGGCAGAGGCAGAGGCGCATGGTAGAAAACATCAGGAGTACAAGGCGGCTTCGAAGAAAGAGCAAGATCGCCAGCGCAAAAAGGCTGACCTGTTCTCTACCGCAGCAATGGTCGGAACTTCAACTGGACGACCCCATATAACCGTTACTATGGGGCAGAGGACTACTGGAGCCAAGTGACGATGACCGCAAGGAAAGGCTCTCCAAGGCGCATGCTAGTGCCAAGTCACTCAAGCTCACGCTGCCTGTGGGAACCAACGCTCTCTACGTGCCTCCAACTCCCTTGTTGGCACCCATCGGGATAATAGCGTATGGAGTATTGGTACAAAGGGATAGGTATGTGATGATATTTCTCAGGTTGTTAGGGATCAAAAAAGTTCTTTTCTTCTTCTTTTGGTCTAACAAATTACTTGCGTGTTCCATCATGGATAAGATTTCTTCATACCCCCTCGTTTACCTAAGCACAAATTTTCATAAGTTCACGTACCGCTTTTTCTATATGTTATGCGCCCAAATACTAGGTTGGATATCTTGTTTATCTTTTTCAAATCTTGTCATGGGTCCAAGACTGAACTTCTATTTTGGTTTTAGCGGAATTCGTTTCTGGAAATATCTTATATTCTACGAGTGTCATGTTGGATCCCTGACGCTGGACATACCCATACCACCTGTCTGACTAAGTACCTCTAGTTATAACCAGCATCCTGGCACTCACTCTTGGTCTGACCAACTTAAGCTCGTTTTCAAAAGGACATCTGCTGTCTGAATCTCGCCACACATGGCTTTGGCCTCAACGACATTGAATTCAATCATTCATCACGTCATATCTCCATGCCATTTCCACGCATCAGTTTGGAAAGAAAGTGGTGTTACTCGAATTATAGAATCAAACGCGAAGAAGGCATGAAAACGAACAAGTTAAGAAGATAACTAAGGCTTCAGATCATTTTTCGAGACTTTGGCTTGAAACGCCGAACCACTTCCAGCAGCCTGGCATGGCGCCGGCAGACCACTTCATCGTCCGAACGCTTTTCCAGTGCAGAAGTCTACTGGTAACCGAAGCTGATAGTTCGATCCTTCAAGGTTCGACATATATAGTTGGGATGACAGCTGCATCCGCGCACCGGTCATCATAACGCCGGTGCCTGGGGTCAAAACGCGGTGCGCGACACCAAATGGGGGTTTTCGAGCGGTCTGTCCTTCACTCAAGTCACAACCTTGAGCTAAGGTTGACAAAAGCCCGTTCACATGTTGGCCACATACCGGATCGATAACATATCAGGTCGATATCAGAAGCCTTTAACCGTTACCCAACGCTGAGGGCCAATTCACCCGTCGAGCGCACATCAGATCAACCTCAGCAACCTTTAACTCAAGCACAATGGAAGGTCGAGCGCACTTCGCTTCGCGGGACATGTTTTTCCAAATTGCCTAGGACCAGAGTATTTAAACCCCTTCTACCCCCAGCCAAATTTCCAATCTTTCCCACTCCAACAAACTTTGCACCTCAGAGCAGAAAACAATCAAGCCAATCGCGCTTTCGTCAAATCTTCTCTATCGACAAATTCGCCTTCAATCCTCCAACAATATCATCACTCTCTTAACCCTCCCACCCAGTCAACACTTCGTTAAAATTGCGCTTCGATACCTGCCACAGTCGATATTTCAAGTCGCCAAGGTATATTGACCCCTCAAGTTTGTTCAAACCTACAGGTTAGTCTCTTACTCCCTTCTCTTATGCATCATTTGTCTTCACCGCGACGCGCCCTGCGGATCATATGCGCTAACATCTCGTCGGTAGGGACTATATATCTTCCCTTGCAACCAATCACTCTCTTCCTACCACCGTAGCGGCTGGTAGTAACAATTTCACAACCACCTCCGACCGAATCCTCAACGACAAAATGGCGCCCGGAAAATCATACGCCTCGCCTACTCGCAAGATCTGGGACGACAGGTACGACAAGTGCCTGGAACACGCCCAGAGCTATCTGGACCCTGGTAGAAACAGCCGAGCGGTTGTATGACGATCTCGAAGACCTAAGGTTTCGCGAAGACGGCCAGACCCGTTACAACGACCGCCTGAAGTGTTACCAGAAGATCGGAAATGAGCTCGAGCAGGTGCGTGCTGCTGAGAAGAAGAGAGAGGCCGGGATTGCTCTCGGAAACAAGGCGGCTAACGGACCACCATACGTCGCCCCTACTCCGATAATCTGGAACGATCGGACCGACAAGTTCGTGTGCACACCCAGAGCCATCTCACTCCTGGTCTGGGAAGCCGAGAACTTGTATCTCGAGCTCGAAGCTCTGAGGTTCGAAAAAGACGGCTACCAGCGGTACAAAGAACGACGGAAGCGGTACGACGAGATATGGAAGAAGCTGGAGCAGCTGCGTGCTGCGGAGAAGGCAGCTGCCGAACAGAAGAAGCGTGCTGATGAGCAAAAGCGCGCTGAACAGAAAAGGCGCGATGAAGAAAACAGGCGTGCTGCGGAGAAGGCAGCCGACCAAGAGAGGCGGAGGCAGCAAATCCTCAAGCAGAAAGACGATCAAATCAAGGCCTTGAAGGAGGAGTGGGCTGCTGAACACCAGCGCAGGGCGGAGGCGGAAGCCCGCGCAAAGGAATTTCTAGCCTCCGAGGAGAAGAAGCGACAGGCACTCGTCCAAAAAGCCGATGAGAAGCTCAGGCTTCTGCAAGCTGAGCTTGCCGAGAAAAAGATGCAGGCGGAGTTGTTTGCCTGCTGCGAACGCCAACGGGCCGTGGAGGAGGTTCGCAAAGAGCTGGAGGACACGAAGAAGCGTCTGAATCTCGAGTACGAGGCCTTTCAACAGAGAAGCCGTGAAGCTTTCGAGGCTGCCGAACGTCAAAGGATCGAAGACGAGAATCTGAGGGCCCGTGCTCGGAAAGAAAAGGAGGCTGCTCTTGCCAGACAGAGCGCGGAGAAACAAACCTCGCCGGAACAGAGACCGAAGGAGGTGTCGTTTGATTCCACCCACAACCAGATCTACGGCCTGAGTCCTGCTTCGCACGGCTATCGACAGCCTGAACAGCAGAACGTCAAGCGTCCAGACAGCGATAACCAGCAGCATAATCATCACCCCTCTCACGATCGTTCCCAGTCGCAGAAAGCTCAGCACGTTTCCGATGTTTGGACCGCTTCGTATCCCCAGTATGAACATCACCGACAGGCCGATCAGCCAAAGCACCACTATCCTCAGTACACCCACCCACTGTCTCACCATTGCAACGGCCAACGTCCAACAACTGGTGATTTTCAGCGCGATCACCAAGCGCCAGTAGGCCTCTCCGGTATGCCGGCTGGTTCTTCGGTTGCCTCCTATTCCCCAGCTCTCGCTCCTTGGGATGATTATAACCAGCACACGGTTGGTGGCTATGAAGCTTCTCATGGGCCTCAATGGCAGTCGCACCACGATCCGTCGTATCTACATGCTTCCACCACCGGAAAGAAATGGTCCACGCCTCAAATCTCCACGTGGAATGCACCCGTTCTGGATTCATTCGGTACTTCCCGACCCGAATCGCCGGTAAAGGAGAAGTGGTCATTGCCACCCTCGCCCATTGTGAATCCGAAGCAGGTTGATGTTCGTTCTCCTCGGGAGACTGAAGAGGAGAAGCTTCGGAGGGAACTCGCTGAGGAGAAGGCCAGGAACGCGAAGTTGGCGGCTGACCTGGAGAGGAAGAAACGGGTTAGCGGCGCAGATAGCGTGGCGACTTGGCAGACCGGAACCAAGTCGATCTGGGAAGATGCAACCAAGGATACCTCCAAGCATGCTCCTCATGCTCACCAGAGTGAGATGCCAAAGGCACAGGCAGCCAAGCCTTCTTTCAGCCAGCGCAATAAGCAGGACGCAAAAAGGGACAACAAGGTGACAGGCTCCTCCAAAGAATCTTCCAAGCCGACGACGGTGTCAGTGCAAAATCTTCGTCGTCGAGAACCGAGTGTCGACCGCAACGGTTTTCGCCCTAGCAGTCGAACCAGCACTCATACTCGGTACTTCGAAGCTGAGGAGCACATATCCTCTGACGAAGAACACACTCCGAGGCCCAAGTTCTCTCGGGCGAACACCCGTTATGCATGGCGAAAGCCTTCCCTGGAATCGATTCCTCGATATGTCCCTCCGACACCCCACCGCCACCCATCGCCTCCCCCTAAGCTCTCTCCCACACCTCCGCGTGGCTCCACGGCCGACGCCAGACAGGGAACTCAAACCCCGAAGCTGGCCGGCATTCCCGGCAGCTGGCGCGACGAGCACCCGCCTGCGGATCTTGGCTGGCCTGCAAACGTTTCAACTCCGAGCGTGAAGAGCCCGCCCACCGCCGATCACAAGACGACGGAGACGGAGACGTACAAACCGGGGCGGTACGTTCCCGTGCCCAAGGATGTGCCTCCTCCTGGATCGTACCTCTCTGCGAACGCTCACCACAGGAAGTCGAGCTACCAATATCCCGTGCCGCCATACTACCCTGGCAGCGCCACTACCGTCCCGCAACCCGTTGCTGGACCGTCGGGACACGGCGGGCAGTTCTCATCTTGGGCTGACCCGACAGTTGCCCAGAGCACCGACGGGCCCAGGTACACGAGGGAGGAGAAGGGGAAGGGTAAAGCTCGATGGTGAGGATTATGAGCGAGATTTGCAAGGGAAGCTGAAGTTCGAGGATTGATGAAGACAATGCATTTACGGAGTAAGGAGCATCATTTTTGCATGACTTTGTCAGGTGCTCAGGGATAGATTAGCGGTAATGATACCCCGGTCTTGTGGTGTTGATGGCTGATAAGGATTTGGTTTTGCTTTCATGGAAGTCTCAGGCATGAGGATGGGATCATGGCATTATTTGGTAGTTTAGAGAACTGGAACATGGCCCTTCTCAGCCTGTAGCCAGCAGCCAGCAGCCGGTTAACAGCTTTTGGTTGGTGATCAGAGGAATCTCATAGGCTTTCTTTAGGAATGGATTTCAAGTTTAACAACAGAAGTCTCTCGATTCTCGTGCAATGAATCCTGATATGATCATAAAAGTGACCATATGGCGATCTGACCTCATGTGCGAGACAGACCCCCGTGTGATACTCGTCCTTCCCTCCCCTAATCATTTCCTCGTGGCATACTTGTTCATCTAAAGCGATCCAGACTCATGCCTAAACATGGCGGAAATGGAGATGGATTTACTGCAATGGTACTCCCAAGAAACAGTTGTCAACTCGCTTGCTTCCCATCTGGTGCTTGTGTGGAGAGTGGACTGGGTAGTGGACGTGGGAAGCAGTTGGAAGAAGATCAAAATCATGATGGAACAACTGAAAGCAGACGTTCCTATACAGCATGCCAGGCCAAATCACATGAGGTCCAAGCTAGCAACATCTCGCTGTGGCACTGTTCCGTCAACAAGGACATGGAGGCGGCTTCACACCTGAGTGTCTCGGGTACTTTAACCCCTGGCGATCCTTCATAGCCACTTCTGACTTCGGAGACATATCACAACGGCTCGGGTGGAAACTGGAAAGACTGACACAGGCATTATGTTTCTGGTATCACTTGAGCAACACATCGAACAATTCTTGAGATATGAGTAGGATGTCAATTCAACGACTAACTAGGTAAAGCTCACGAACGCCACAATAGACGATTCGCAGACAAGACATAACGTCGAGGGCGAACCATGGGACAGGCATGACGCGAAACCTCTGACAATGAGTGGAGAAAACTGTTCGCGACCTTTTCATGCATTTGTCAATCTGCTTCCTGTTTTTGAATCCTCAAAAGCGATACAAAGAGCAAACTAAAACACGCGCCAAACGGCAGTGGCAGAGATATCCTTGGTGAGGGAGATGGTTGACGATTTACTCATCATCCTCCTCCTCCTCATCGGAGTCCTCCTCAGACTCAGCCTCGGCGAGCCAGGTAAGGAAGGGCTCAGCAGCCTTGCGGATCTTCTTGGAAGTAGAGCCATCGACGTACTTCTTGGAAGCCTTAGCACCCCACTTGGTGATGACTTCCTCGGAGCAGAGGTCGTGGTGGTAGTAGAGCTGGAGGATCTTGACAATCTTGTCAAAAGACTCCTTGCCGAGGTCAGCAAGGACACGCTCGGTACCGCCAAGGAGGGCCTTCTCGTGACGCTCAGAGGTAATGAGTCTCTTGAGCATGGGAGCACGCTTGGGGATCTGGGCAACGATGTTCTCGTCAAAGAGGCACTGAACAAGGACCTGAATGGTGCGGTGCTTAGCATCAATGCCGAGCTCCTTAGCCTTGACGTAGATGTCGACGTCGTCGACGTTGTTGATGCCACCCTTGGCCTTGGCTTCATCCTCGATCCAAGTGCCGAGCTGGTCGTAGACGGTGTTTCCACCCTCCTCCTCCTCGTCTTCTTCGCCGTTCAGGACGAGCTTCTGCTTGAATTCGCCAGGAAGGCTCTGCTGACGGGCACGGACGGCCTCCTCGCTCATGTCGACGGCCCACTCCTCCTCCTTGGGAGCCTCTCTCTTGTCCAACTGCAAGCTCTGAGCCTCGGTCTTGATCTTGCGAGTAAGCTCATCATCATCGCTGGCATATTCGATGTTCTTATCCTCGATGGCAGGAGAGGCTCCCTCAGAGCCGTTCTCGTCACCGGAGCCCTCCTTGTCACCGCCGTTCTGGCGGGCCTTGCGGGCAGCCTTGCGCTCAGCCTTGTCCTTCTTGGTCTTCTTGGGGACGTTCTTGAGGATGAAGGAGGTCAGCTTAAGCTGGGGCTCGACCTTGGAGCGCTGGCCGCAGGCCTTGCAGTCGAGAGTGATCTTCTCGTCCTTGATCTGGACAACGGTCTCGGGGTTCTTGCACTTCTTGCAAAGGACGAACTTGGAGATGAAGCCATCGAGGAGGTCCTGGAGCTTGCTGGCCTCGTGAGAACCGTTGATGATCCAGCGGTCATCAGGAGGATCAATGTTGGTCTGAGCACCGAGCTCGAAACCGAAGTACTTGATCAGGTAGCCACCAGGACGAGCCAGGGACTGGGCAACGCTGCTGAGGTTGACAACGACGGTCTTGATACCGTTACCCTTGCCTTCAATCTTGGTCTGGATACGCTCCATCTTGTAGCGGTAGAAGGGATCGGGGTTGTCCCGGCGAACGTTGATAAGAGCACCCATGTTTGCGGTATTGACGGCGCAACGGGATAGAGTTTGTTGGATTGTTTTGTTGGAGTTTGTTGGGGGTCTGGTAGACGGTACCTAGCGAAGGGCAGACTAGAAGACTGGTCGACGATGTCGTAGAAAGCGGGGCTTCTTATTGCACGGAGACGTGTGAGGAAGATCGAGGGGGCGAGACGAGCCAAAGGGGTCAGTTATTGACGATTACTTTGAGTTGACATAGGGTAGAGCGGGTGGTTATCGTAGTCGAAGGTAGGCATTAACGCTGGCAGACGACGACCTGAGGGATGGCGATTCAACCGTCGGTACTTTGTTGGAAGCTACAGGGTTTCCGCGATATGCGAAAATGCAGCTTGATGGGGGGAGAGTGTCGGAAGACGGCGTGCTGGTCGTGCTGATACATAAACAACGCTGTGTCGCGCAAAATGCTTATGTTGGGGTCTGGTGGGTGGTGTTGTTCTGAACCTTGGCGGTGCCGGAACAGAAAGCTGGGTGCGGGAGAGGATGGGCTTTTGAGGCAAGCGAAATTTTTTCTCCCTCTGTGACGAGCGACGGGCTTCCTTTGCTGGACGGAGCGGAGCGGATGGAGTCGAGTGACTTTGTGTGGGTTTCTGCTGGGATTGTGGATTCACTTCACTTCCGTGGTGCTGCACCCAAAATCCGGGGAGGGTGGAGTTTGATGGACAGATGGACAGATAGCCCGGTCGCCGATGTGGTCTTGGGATGGGATGCAAGGACGATGTCGCTGCTGATGGCGGTTGATGATGGGTAGAACGAAGTGAGGTTTGCAAAAAAGGCAGCAAAGAGGTTTTTAAGAAGGACGAGAAGGCAGTGCTTATGGATCGGTGCTGCAGAATGGATCTTAAACCGGGCACGGGCAACAAGGCGGGCAGTCACTGCACAAGCAAGAGGATTTGTCGGCCAAAGGATTTTTCGTGTTTCCAGACGTGCCCTGGCTGTGTACCTGGTCGTTCATGTGACAGGAAGTCCAGGGTACTTATTGGATGTCTTTGTATGGCGGGCAATCACCGCTACAAACGGGCTGTAAGTAAAGTACCCGAGACATGTGGCCGTTCGTTAAGCCAGGCAGCACCAGCTGTCGTGCTGCCTTGAACCAACTGTCATCATGCCCTATCCTACCTTCATCGGCCAGTTGCCAGGTGGTGGTGCAGTCCATCATTCTTCCACACTCGCTTTCAGCACAATGGAAGAAAGGCCGTTCCTGCCTGAGCATTCTCCCCGGTGCGCCCATTATTGCAGCCAGCAAGCTAGTACGGGACGCGCAATGTCGCATATTACAAATGGCAAGTGCGGGAAGATTTTGATGCGAGTTTGCCCCCTCATCCACCCGGCGTTTCCACCTCTTGCTTTTGATCCTCAAGTTCCGGCCCGATGCCTCTTGCAAGCTGACTCGCCGAATAGGTGGCCAGAAGAGGGCACAAAGGAGACGGATGGAAAGGCGGGACTCCTTGATAACCAGCCGGTACCTAAGCTTATACAAGATCCACGCAGATGGGGGCGTTCCCTGTGTCGTGCATTGTCCACACCAGACAACCAAGCAGTTCCACTTTCACTTCTGGTAGCCGAGCAGGTGGAGGCCTTCCGTGGTTGTCGGTCAGTTAATTAGGTGGATGTCCACCATGTCGACGGGCCTGGACCTCCCCGGTCTCTCTCTCCACCGCGTGTCTGGGTTATCACGAGTTCACGACTAGTCCGGCTTGTTATATCGTTCGGCAACTCTGGAGTTACGAGATGTGGAACATGGGCGGCATTCAGAAAGAATCCGAAACGCATCCGATATAGTGTACTTTACCAAGTGAGGCGGCAATATCACCAACACTTACTTACATACACTAGACCAACATCTGGATCTGGACCAGACAAAGAAACCGCCAATAGGCAATTACTGCTGTATATACTAAGCAACTAACATTGTTAGGTATTGTCTATTTCTGCATGATCTCAATACCTTCCCTCAGGAGACCTCCCGCGGTAACACTACAACGGTTTCAACAACTAGACTTAGTATACCCAATCCTCTAAACCACCACCTCCTCCTCCTGCCCACCAATTGGCTCAAACTTCAACAGACACTTCAACCCAGCCGGCCTCGACGATATAAGTTGATCCGCCATCTCCATATCCTCCTCCCTCATCGTCTCATTGGGGCGTGTAGTAAACCTGGAATACACCTGTCGGAGCAAGATCTTCATCTCGGTAAGTGCCAAACTGGGAACATGTTAGATACACACACTCACACACACCAACAGTCAAAGGAAGCAAACGGATCAACAAGAAAGAAAAGAAACTTACTGTTTACCAACACATCCCCTGCCCCCATTAGCAAAAGCAAAGAACAACCTTTTCTTCCTTCCCTCCTTATCCCCGCCCTTTTTTTCCTCCTCTAACCACCTCTCCGGCCTAAACGTATCCGGATCCGGGCCCCAAGCCTCCATATCAATCCTATGCACCGAATGCGCCTGGCAACTGACCGTCGTTCCTTTGGGAAGGAAATACCCGTCGATGGTCTTTCCGCCCCGGGGCACGATTCGCGGAAGAGACATGGGGATGGCGGGGAAACATCGCAAACCTTCCATGACTACGGCGTCAAGGTAGGGGAGTTTGTCGAAGCTCAAGTCTGCCGGGAAAGACAACAGTTCCTCGCGCAACTTGGTTTGGTATTGAAGAGACCGCGGTTGTGAAAGCTCCCACATGAGAAAGCAGAGTGCGTCGCCCGTGGTGTCGATGCCGGCTACCATGTGATCGAGGACTTCGGCTGCGATGTCGAGCTGGTCTATCTTGGCGATTTTCTCGCTCTCATCATCGTTGCGGTTGTTGTTCAACACGCTTTGGAGGCGGTTGAGAAGGGTGAAAGGCGCTGCGTCTGTTTTGGCGGCGGTATCGAGGACGAATTTATCGGCTAGAGGAGTCTCGCGCGGCTTGACGCCCCAGATGTAGAGGATCTTGGAGATGGCCTTGTGCAAGGTGGGACTGTAGTAACTTAGTTGTCGGTCTTTTTTTGGTGTGAGGCAAGGTAAGTTAGTGATCCGTGTCGTCCAGCTGGCCAGTTATTTGGCTTAGGTTTGTAAAAGTTGTAGGAGAGTGACTTTGGGCACTCACTTTGCAAACTGTCGTCGAACGTTACTTCGCGCATGATCTCCTCGTCTTGCTTGTTCCGGAGCGAATCGGCCCCGTACGGATGGAACAAGTGATGGGTTGCGCAATCGTAGGCGTATGAGTGAAGGCCTTTATGCTGTAGTATAAGTCCTCTCGTCCAACGTGTATGTGATGGCGCCCATCATAGTACTCTATAGGAGACTCACAAATCTAAGCATCATGTCAGTCATGTAGCCTCCATAGCATATCTTCGAAACAAGCTTACATATAGATCGAGACTTCCGCCCAAAGACTCGACACACCTCTTGACCACTCTCTCCGCCCGCTCGACGATGCCGTTGAGCGCTGGTTGACGCATAACATTACTGTTGGCATAGCGGTCCGCAAGAATCCGTTTCCGTTTGGCGTGCTTCAAGATCGAACATTAGCTTCGAAGTATGCCTGATCCACTTACGGTAATCAGACTCACATCATCTTTATTTAGCGTAGTAAACATCGTCCTAAACAGACACAAAATCAGCACCCTGGATCGTATGAACTAAGCCATCCCAAGGCTATCGATCGCAACCCTCTTCCTCTGTCCGCTTCCTGTTTCTCTCCTTCCCAATATTTTCTTCCACTTCAACCATCATTACCCCTCCTCACTCCATTCCGTACCCGACCGCATCTCCCTATCTCACTCTCTCACACACATCACACGTCGCATACCTCCTTCCATCCTCAACACCGGAAAACAGCAGAAAATGGAAAGCACAATACCAACCTCCGACCATAAACCCTAAACAAATCATACCACGCACTCTTATCGTATCCACTACCACCAGAGCAATAAATCTCTTTCACTCCTTCTATAGACGCAAAGCTCACTTCATTGGGCGCAACACGGACAACGGGTCCGTAGCGGAGGTGCAGGGCGTGGATGTACCGGGTGCGGGTGGCGCGGAGCTCGTGGTACTTGCGAATAAGGGAGGTGAGCTTTGTGTAAAATGGACCGGGAAGGGAGGATAGCGGGGAGGTGAGGGGGACGTAGACGAGGGTGTGGATGAGTAGGAGGAGGATGGGGAGGGTCAGGAGGAGTGTCATAGCGAGGTTGTGGGAAGATGGCCCGGGGTTCAGTGATGTTGTATAGATGGGGATGAGAAGACAGTGAGGTCTAATGTGTCATTATTTGGGTGAATCAAGAAACGATTATTGACGTCGATGGTAGTTGATGATCGATGAGGCTCTGTCAGGTAAGTTATGATAAAGACAAAAGGAAGAAGAGGAAGATGAAGCGGGAGATAGATGCTCGATAGCAGAAAAGTCATTGATAAAGAATGCCTGGGTCCGTTCAGGCCAAGTGGAAGTGCTCAAATGTACCAATCAAGTGGAATCAAAGACAGCAAGTGCAAAGGCCCCTCGAGCCCCTCATCTTAACGACGTCGGTGCCGGGCATAAGTTCCGAATATCAATCAACCAGTGGTCTCGTATTGTTGATTTGTCGACTTTCAAGAATGGTCTCCATCATGGTCTAAACATCGCCGTTTCTAGCCTTCGTTCTCTCTCTATGGGTATCATCCCTTATTTTCCACCCATCAAACCACTGAAGAATCCGGTTGACTTTGCCTGAGGAGGGTACTGAACGCCGTTGACCTCGACCTTGGGCTCGCAGGTGCACCACTTGTCCTTGGGGACGCCCGCGAAGACGCCGGGGATGTGGGAGCCGCAGCCACGCCACGCTTGCTTAGCTGTTGGAAGTTGTTAGCAAATAGTGGTCGACTAGGTAGGACATTCTCGATTGTCGAGTGTCGATTGTATGAGACTTGGTCTCGAGTGCTTGAACAAGCGATGGCGGGGTTTCTCTTGATCGATGTCACAAAGAGTGCGATAAGCAAATGCGGGGGACGATTTGGGGGAGATAAGGATTTGGATGCACTGCATGTGAAAGTTTCAGCGGGCAATACGGAAACGTACAGCAAGTAGAGCAAGTCGAGCTCATACACATCGTGGTGGGGGTTGCTTGGTAGATAGTTTGGGATGTGGCTTTTGGTTATGTTAGAGAATGCGGTAGTCGTTAGATGGGATGTTCTTATTTTATATTGTTGAATCCGGGACGCTCTTTTCGTCTCCACGGCCTTTTATAGCTGTTGGAATGCTCCTTCGTATAGAGGAGTGAAGGGGTCGCCGAACTCCCAGGGCTTTGGCTTAACAAGGGCAACAAACAACCTGAATTCCAAGACCCGCAGCGGCACTTCGGCGACCAAAACCTCGCTCAAAGATCCCGTCCCGCTACGCCGGAGAGGGCCTCGGTGATGACGGGGACCACCATCTTGAAAGGGATCCGCGATCCCGCGAATTTCCATCATCATTCTTGATTCACATTAGTCATCCATGGTCGCTCAAATAGTCCCCGAAATGTGAGGATATTACGGAAGTCCCGTTTGATTCCCGACATGTTACCTCCGGCTATCGGTCACAAACTACTGGTACTTGGTGTCAGCCTTGACATCTTCATCCAGCCATTGCCGCTCCAGCTGCTTGAAAAAGGCATGCACTCGGTCACAAAGCCAGCCTTGCGCCCGGTCCGCCGGCTCCCCAGCCGGGCCGTATTCCACTCGGTGATCTGCCTCGGGGATGAGACCCGATAGGCTTGAGATTACATCCTCCTTACAGAAGCTCTTCCACTTATCCAGCATGTCGACAACGTCAATCCAGTCTGGAACGTGCTCGTCGTTCTCGGACGGCAGAACAAGAACCGGCTTCGAAACCTTGCCCCAAATCTCGGCCAGCTTTTCGTCTGGTAAGTCCGATGAGAAGTAGTCATCGTCACCGCTGATATGAGATACCCATCGTCAGCACTGTTGACCACAAAATGGAGGAAGATCACTTACCCAAAGCTCGCCAACGAATTCCACCTATAAGCAGAAACCGGCGAGGTCCAAAACTCCTTTGGCAACCACTCTCTCGGCATGCAATCGTGCGCCGTGCCTTCGCTCATCATCTTCTGTGCAACCCTGACGCTCAAGTCCATCCTGGCTTGTCCCTTCCCAGGTGATGCCTCCTCAAAGACTGCCAGAATCGCCTCGCGATCCGATACTGGCCCCTGCAAGATGAACGCATCAATCTTCTCGAGCCCCATCTCGGCGCCGTGTGTGGCGTAGTACATGGCATCTTGACAGCCCGTGGAGTGGCCCATCAACACAATCCTGTCTACCCTGAACGTCTTTCTGTGGCGCAAATACTTGACCAAAGCACTGATTTCCTTGACGTCGTTGGAGAGGCTGCCGTATCCCCAGGCCGAGAAGGCGCTGCTGAGTCGGGGTTCGTAGACCGCATAGTCAGATTCACCAGCGATAGCAGAATCAGCTAGAAATTTGACGTATGGGATACCATGAGGGCCGTCACCAAGACCACCCACAAAGATAAGCGCGGTTCTCTTGTGGCGGTTGGTCTCATACTCGTAGGCTTGGGCGAAGCGGTTGGACTCGGGGTCGTGCGATGGGTAGTTGTGGACCACTACGCGGTAGGGCTGGATGGGCGCGAGTCGGGAGGGCTCCATAGCTATGGTAGCGACGTAAATGACTTGGTGTTTGTTGGTAAAGAAGATGATGAGAAAGTAGGAGATGAACTGAGAAATCCCGATGTTGTCGCGCTGCAACTGCCCCGTCAATCTGACCAGCTTGCCGTTACCATGGCGACGAATATGCCGCTGTAAATAGTGCAATCACCACCTGCAGGCTTCCGCTATGTGGAGGGCAAAGTGGAGGCGTTACTGTTCGTAATTACTACCATAGTAACCACTATCATTGGTGTTCAGGTCTCCAATTTAACGTCGACACCTCCCACCATCTCACCGAAAACATCACGATCGATTTTACTGGTACTCGAAAGAGACCCGGGCAATCAAAAGAATTTCGACACGAAGAGGCAGAAGCTTGAAAACAAGAAAATTACCAGGGCATTGCCCTAAGCTTATGCTACACCATTCGGACCATCCCAGAGGATCGAAATGCTCGCCCATCACGTCATGGTTGGGAAGGTCGTCATCGCCGTTTGGCATCAATGCCACCTCAGGTATCTTATCGCACCTTCCATTTGAACGAGAGAACGAAATATGCAGTGGGCTTGATGTTCCAGGGTAGAAGATCAGGTCACGGAACCCAAGGAATGCGTGACTCTTTATATGGGCCACGGACGCAATCATACCTCCTGGGAACTGTCTCGGCGCTTTTCGTCTCAATTTCATCAACTGAACTACAAAACCCGGAGAAGCCTTCATTCATGTTTCCATTGCTCCTCGCGCGCGTTCGCATATCTTCACCTCGCTGAACAACAAATCACAAGACACACAAGGTAACAACATTTTACAATGTAGGTATTGTACTCACAGATTTGTGTCACCCTCCACACTCTCTTACTCCCAATACTCGTGAACCTTAATAAATCTGTTGCCCAAGACTAACAACCCTTTTAGCAGAAATACCCGTTCAAGGATGATAAAAAGTGTGATGCTTCGGTCTCCCCCTTGCAGCATCCCAGCCTGCCGAACCCGTCAAGATTGTTGCGGCGTCCGCACTTCCGCGTTTCGGATTGACGCCGAGTTCTTGTGGCTCTGTCGGCGTTATTTGGGGCTCCGTCCCATGAAGGTCGGCTGCTGTGGTTGTTGGCGTTCCGGACCCTGACCCGGTTCCGGTCACGGTCCCATGCCTTGACACAAGACTACCATGGTCACCTCTTCCAGCTGGCGGGACCTGCATCCAGACTCGTCCTTGGAAATCAATCTTGGTTTGGAGGCTTTGCTGTTGTTCAGATACCGCCGACGCCGGACTTGTCAGCTCGTACGTTACTCCATCTGGTCCCTGCCAGTACGTATTCCCTTCCAACTCTGCGGGAGGGCGAGGAACATTGGCAGAATACACGCTACCTTCCTGTTGCTGTCTCTGAAAGGGACCATCGGAATACGCCGTCGTGGGTGTATATCCGGTCATAGCCGTCATCCCAGGGCTCCAAGGCGGCACACCATCCGAGTGTGAAGCCATAGTACCCAATCCGGCACCATCAGCGAGGGCCTTCTCCCTCCTGCTTTTCTCGTCTTGAATCCGTCGTCGTCGATGTCGCTTGATAAACCAGCAAGTCCCAACCAGCGCCGCAATGATAGCCACCGCCCCACCAACTGCAATTCCAGCAATTGCCCCCTTCGAAAGGGTTGTCCCTCCTCTGTTCGCATCCGAACTACTTGTCGCACTCGGGACACTCCGCGTTGGAGTCCTCGCAGCAAACTTTGCTTCCCTCGTCAACAGGACCTTCAAATCCGGATGTGCCCAGCCCTTCTCAGGTTCTCTCTTAGTCGCTCCGCCGTCCTTCCCACCACCCACCGCCTTTACCACCACATCCGGCACCACATACGTGGTCAGATTTGGGTTGAACAACTGCCACGGCTCCTTCTTGGCATTCTGCTCACCTAGGTCGAGGTTATGTGTGCCGAACTGGGAGGGTACGTCGCAGTCGGTCGAGAGCGGGAAGCTTCCCCCTATGATCAGCATCTGGGCCTGAGAAATGACATTGCAGCTCAGCGAGTGATGCGGGTATGCTCCCCCTTGCTGGTTATTCTGGCTTGGATCAGAGTTGTCGGAAGGCTTAGGATAGAGCTTCAGCCATTGGAAGGAGGGAATCGTAAGGATATAGACGTCGTCGTAACCAGGGTGATTATCCGGGGGAGTGGAGGCGCCGCCATAGATGTATCTGTTGGCATCCTGTCAGCGACAAAACGGCAAAAGGGGGGCTGAATGTGGCATATTAAAGCACGCTCACAAATTATATGAGCTCTGGTCGCTGGCCCAACTAGCCCCGGAGCAGAACCGCCTCCTCCTCCCCGGCACCTCCCCCGTCGCATTCTGCACATACCACTTACTACTCAGCACATCATACAGATAGATCATCTCCATCGGCTGGCCTTCAGTCGTCACATTCCCACCGTTCTTTTCATCCTCAGTCGTCTGCATCACTCCCCCAAAGTAAACCAACATCCCGCCATCCCCTATCGGGATGAACACCATGGAGCCTTCTGCCCTTCCTGTCTTTCCACTCCCCCCCTGATCTGGCCCCTGATTCCTCGACCACTGCCCCTCGTCAAAATCAAACTTCATCAATGCTCCAGACGCCACTCCCGTCGAATTACCCGTACTACTGTCAGATATCCATCCGCCGAAATAATACCCCTCTCCTCTCTCTTCTACACTAACCCCAGCTCCATATGAGACACCGTCTACCTTCACCTGATTCGGATTGTTCTTGGGGGCAGCTAATTCCCATTCTTCCGACACGGCATCAAAGGACCATAACGAAGGCAGATAGTAGTTCGAAGCAGGAAGTGAAGGCGGAGGTTCACCGCCGAAGAGGTAAAGTCGCTTGTTGAGTTGATCGGCCCAGAGGGCAGCGCCGTGGACGGAGGGGACAGAGGAGTTCTTTGGCGGAGAGGTGAACAGGAGAGGAGGCATGCCAGATTCGGTGATGGTTGTGAGGTCGAGGTAGAGAAGGGCAGTGTCTATGAGACTGATGTCAGCTATGAAGGTATCGCGGGGGGTTGCCAAGATCACTGACTTGTGTAATTGGCTGGATACTGGGAGATGGGGTTGTAGTTGATGAAACCACCATCTATGTAGAGTTTGTTATCGATTACGGCGGTTTGGTGGCCGAAGATTCGGCAGAAGTTCTTGATGGGGTCGAGCTGGGCGTCGGAGCTCCGAATGACGGTGAGTAGTAGAAGGAATAGGAGGAGTGCCCATGACTGAGGAACGAGCGGTGATCTTGAGGATCGTCGTCTCGTCGATAACCTTCTAGGACCCGGCGACGGCGTCCCTAGCAAGTGGGAAGAAGTCATATCGACAAGCGAGTGTCTGGGTCAGGCCATTTCATGCTTTCACTTGAACACGGCGGCTGTATACACTCCAGCGACGTGGAGCTAAGGAGTGATCGGACAGCACTCGTCAGTAACAAAAGTGGAAATTTCAGACAGAAAGATGGTGAAAAGCTGAGTGGCGACAAGAAAACCGAACGAAAAAAAAAAAAAAAACTTGACAGTAAGGTTTCTGCGCCAGCGAGCGTCGGAGGAGACAACACTGACAGTGAGCAGGCAGGCCATCACTCGTCCACTCGTCTCTCTCCGACAAGAAACCTGTCCCAGAACCCAGCCTAGACCCATAGCCACCGGGGGGGCGCTCCGCGGTGTCTCGAGAACAAGAAAGCGACCAGTTGAAAACCAGACGTTGATTGAAAGGTTCAGCCCAAAGTTCCGCAGCAGCATTTAACAGTCGTACAGGAACTGCGTCGATACCGACCAAGCGGTTACCGTAACCATGATTGGTTCTTGAGAGACACTCGTGGTGGTGTATGATGGTGTGTAAGACGAGAAGAGGCGCAGGGGTATTATTCCAGACAGACCCGTATTCCTCCTCCTCAGTAGTGTATTGGGCTGGAAGCTCTCAGCCGATCGGCACATGCGCGATAAGCGGGTTTAAAACACGTGAACTCTTTTTCGGTTCGTACACGAGCAGACGAGGTTGTACACTTGATATTCGAATCTGGTGTGGTGGATGGGACTGAAAGAAGAAAAGGAAGAGAAGCAAGCGCTTGGCTGTTTTTTTTTTCTTTCTTGCCCGATGGATGGATGCATGTCGTGTTCCCCCATACAGTCCAATACTGGTTTGTTTGTTAGCTCGAAACCTCCGGTCATTCTTCCTAGGCGTTTGCATGCCTAATCGATCCGTTTCGTTCTATATCAAAAGCGTAATTTATATTGTATATACCCCCTTGACTCTCATCAATGCCTTTTCGAATTGTGCTTAGCCATTCAATACTGTCCTTGTAAAGTTTGGGACAATCTGGGACAGATTTTGTCCAGTATGATAGGTGTACTGAGCTAACAAACAAACTAGTATTGTGTTGTACGTACTATGCGGACTTGATCCAATAATATGCCTTTTCTCCAAGAAGTGAAAGTCTCAGCTTTCATGTACACATTACTTGAAGACCCGTCCCCCGACGGCTTGCAACCCCCCTTGTCCTGGGCCTTGATCATTCATGTCTTTTAATCTACAGGGCTGAAGAAAAGTTTACTGTCTGTCGTGCGTGGTGAGTGAGTCAAGGCTGGGGTTTTCAAGCAGATGGTTCAAGCGCAGGAGCCAATACCAGACGATAGTTAGCGAGAATTGTACGACTTTGAATACCGTAGAACAGTTCTTGGACGACTTCGGCGATGACTAGTTTATGTAACTGGATAATTACGAAATGGGGCAGTACGCTAGAGTACGCTTTATGGTAGCTGACGTAAACTGCAGAAACGAATTCTACTTTGACATGATACTGACAATACCGACGCTGATAACACAACATATTCGGACAGCTAAACCAGCCTTGCCCTGGCAAGAAAGTAAGCAAGCAACCCTATCTGTCCTCAAACCTAACTCGACCCTTCTCCCGACTTCAGAGGAAGCTCATCATCATGGACGGACACCTAATCCGTGTTCTTCTCTGAGCCTCCATTTTCTCCTTCTTCTCCTTGTCCTTCTCCAAGCTGCTGCGTATCACTTCCGCCGTCCTCCTCATATTTTTCTGTTTCTACCAGCTCCGGACACTCGAGAAAAAACAAATCAGCGTACTTAGTAGGCCAAAGGTCCGCCGGGATTTCGAAATTCAGATCAACCATTGCCAAACGGTTGGCGATGGATCTGAGAAAGACAAAGATCGTGGAGACGTAGTACTTGTCATCAACCTGATACCCATCCCTGGTGCAGGCTACCAGAATGGCATCGTTGCACTGGGAGACAAGCCAACAGCCTTCTTCAGAGTGAAGCAAGGGAGCGATGATGCGGCGGAGTTGACGGAAGGATGAATACTGATTCACGGCTTCTGAGAGCGAGGAGGGGGAGTAGTTGACTTCCTGGTGGATTGGGTATTGAGCTTTCTCGATGCGATGGAGGAGGAGGCTGGTGAGGCGCTGGGTAGAGGTCGAGTACGAGTCGGGTATGCCTATGTCGCGGAGGTCGGACGTGATGAGGAAGCCGAAAGGTGGTTCGTGGGTGCCTGGTTCCAGTACTGCTTGATGGCTGCCTTGTGAGTTCGGGACATCCTCAGAGGCAGCAATGCCGAGAAATGCCACTGAAAGAACATCACGTTCTGTTAACCGACGGTAATCGAATGGCCGTAACTGTGCCTTCCATTTTGCTTTGGAGTCAGCAACGGTTTCGGCGACAGAGATCGCGCGTCTGACAATTTCCTGTTGATCTGGGTCGAGGTGCGGCCACTGCTCTCTCTGCTCGACTGCATCGTTTGCGTTGAATGGACGAACAAAGGGATTGTCGTGGGCGTCCAGCTCCAGCACCAGGTCGGATATTTGATAGGTTTCAAGCTCGACCGCTTTCGCAACAGCTCGCTTGTGGCCAAGATTACTCGAGAAGTTCCTCATTCTCTTCCATTCCTCCGCTGTCCTGTGGTTCGGAAACTTGGTGATGTACTCCCATTGCTCGACCGTCCAATGGTCGGGGATTCCTTTCGCTAGCTTTTCTTCCCTTTCTTCGGCGGCGAGATGTTCGGGTGTCTTCTTGGACATAACCTTCCAATGGTCTTCCTTCAAGTCTTTGCTGCTTCTCCTTTCCTTCTTCCTGCGTGCTTTGAGGTCGCCATCTGCGTCGGAGAGGATCTTCCTAAACTTGTCAAACTTGGAGTTGCTGGCAAGTCGAAGGCTTCTGAGGTAGGTTCGCCCCGGTTGAGGCCTTCTCAAGTCGACTTTCCTATACTTGAGAAAGTCATTGTGAGTTTGGCCTACTCGCAAGCGCCGGAAGTAGGCTTGGCCGAACTTGGCGGATCCAAAGTCGATCTTCCGGACGAGTCTCTTCATTAAGCGGTCTTTCACTGGGATCTTTTGGAAGCGAAGAAAGCTGTTGTTGTCTTGGCCAACTCTTAGACTTCTGAAGTACCGACCCACCCTCGTAGCTCGATTTCTCATTAGGCTTGCTTGACCATAGCCTCTGACTTTTCCTGTGCTTCTCAACTGACCGAATTTGCTGTTGTTGAAGGTGGGGTGGTTCATAACCCAGGTGTTCCAGAGGTTGATTCTCTCCTGTCTCCTTTCGGCTTCAGTCTCGGGGCAGTTGACGACCGTATCATGATCTATCCTGGTAGGAAGCCCATCTTTATTGGTCGTAGACTTGTGTTGATTTCCTCGACGAGCCCTGGTCCAGACATAGTTGGGATGCTTTTTAACCCAATGCTTCCAGAAATATCTGTTGCTCAGCTCTCTCATCTCTTTTCTGTGGATTCTTTGGCTTTCCACCTGAGGCTGATCCGACTCAGCTGCGATCACTTGGGTGTCCGTGGACTTTTGTGAGTTTTGAGTGAAAAACGAGTAACTGACATCAGCCGGACTCTTGCTGGCTTTGTCTTTCCCCTTTCTTTTTGGCACAAGGGAGTAGGAGGCTGTCTGGACTCGCTGACACGCCTGAGCGTGCCATCTTGGTGAGGATGTTGTGTGTAGCTGAAGCCGAGATGACGCGGGCCAGCAACACCTCAGATACGGTATCATGCCTGCCGTCCACTTGCGCATAAGACTTGAGAATCCAACATTGCCTGACAAAATCCGCGACGACTGTAGGCGTTACTGACGGTTGGGAACTGCTGTGATTGGGAGAAAACGAGGCTGGACTTTGTGTCACCACGGGCAAGGTGGACTGTCAAGAAACACAAGGTAAGTTTTAAATGAGATTCAAGGTGTGAAGCGGGCGGCACCAGGCGGCGTCGACGAGAAGGAAGGAGAGCAATCAATCATCCATCATTCGAGCCGAGTGAACCCCTCCTTCCCTCCTGACCGGTTTCATCCTCCCGCCGTGCCTTCCATTTTCTCCTCATCATCTCGACCGGTCTGCCCAATATTCCTTCCATATTGGTTGCGATGCCGTGTCCTGTGTAACGGGTACAAAGGTACTTTGGAGTGAAAGGTGTGGTTCAGGTCTGGTCGAAGACGGCACAACGGGAAAGAACGAGGCGGGCCGAGACGTTCAAGCCCCCTCTTGGCGCTTCCCTGCAAAATCTGGAGAAGGAGCGCTAAAGAGTCGCTAAAAGACCCTGTAATGATTAGCGCTGAACCTGTAAAACAGGCCGTCATGGCCCACTTGGCGCATCACTCTATCGCATACAAGTACAATCGCTGTAGAAAGGCTTGCTCAGCATTCCACTTTCCTTGGCGCCAGCGCGTCCAGAACAGACAGTCCGGGCGCCGCAGCTTGTTTTCTTTTCTACTTACTACCACTTCCATTGACACCATCCAGATTTCGTATCCCGACAAGCCACGAAATAAACATCGACATCACCAAAATAACACTTTAAAATGCCTCCCGCCAAGAAGAGAAAGACCGAGCCCGAGGAGAAGGCGGAAATGACCCAACAAGAAAACGACATGGCCGATTCCACGACAGAACAGAGCGTGACCGATTCCAAGGAGGAACCATCGGTCACTGAGGCAGCGCCCGCAACAATGTCATCTACATCACCGATTTCATCTGCTCCCGAAAACACACAACCAGAAACTTCGGCAGTAGCTCAGTCCTCAGCAACACCATCCACATCTACCTCTGCTACAGACTCTGCGGCCGCCAAAGCTCGCGAGCGTGCTGAGCGTTTCCGCGCCCTCCAAGCCCGCGCCAAGTCATCCTCGCAGCAAAATCTCAAAGAAGCCACCAAGGAATCCCAACGCCTCCAGAGCGACCCTAGCCAGCTCACTGCCCTCGGCCGTCGCCACGCAATCGCTTCTCACAAGCTTCTGAAAGCCGACATTGAAGATGCCGGTGGTGACTTCGAGCGCAAGCGAGCATGGGACTGGACTGTCGAGGAATCTGAGCGGTGGGACAAGCGCATGAAAAAGAAGGAGGCACACCGTGATGACACTGCCTTCCGCGACTACAACCAACAAGCCGAAAAGTCATACAAACGGCAACTCCGTAACATGGGAGGACCCGATCTGGAGAAGTACACGCGCGAGAAGCTGGCTGCGATCGAGAAGGCCGCGGCGGCTGGCACACTGGAGATCGTCGAGACGGAGGATGGCGAGATGATTGCTATTGATAAGGATGGCACCTTCTTTAGCACGGCAGACTCGACACAGTTCGCGCAGCACAAGCCCGACAAGGCGGCCGTTGACCGACTGGTGGCTGACATGCGCAAGGCAGAGGAGGCCAGTTTGAAGAAGAGGAGGGAGCGGATGGCGGATAATGGCGACGATGCGGACGTCACCTACATCAACGAGAAGAACAAGCAGTTCAACCAGAAGCTGGGGAGGTTCTATAACAAATACACGGCAGAGATCAGGGACAGCTTTGAAAGAGGAACCATGGTTTAGTCGAGTATGCTTCATGCGAAGAGGGGGCGTCGTTAAGGGGTTGATTAGTGGCTTAATTACGTTTAGCATCATCGTTTCATACATCCATTGCGAAAGTTCATCATCCAGGTATAATACAGTCCATTTCCGACGATCTCTTGCTCTTAAAGCATCGTTCTCCTCCATCCCTTGTTCGCCAGCCTCTCTAGCTCGGGGACCTCAACTGCCCCCTTGACCGCCGCATCGTCCAATCCTTCCACCACCGCCTCCGCAACTAAATCTGCCTTGAGAGGCTTCGTCCCCGCACTCCCCAGGAAGCTGGACAGCACTCCTCCCGTGGCCCCGTTGAAGATGCTTCCCGCCATCGTCGCTGCCGCCAGCGGCATGGTCACCGGCCGCGAACTGTCGAACATGAATCCCGGCCTGAAGAACACACTCTTCATCTCAGGGAATTCGCGGGCAATCACGTCCTCCGCCTCCCTCTTAGTTGAGATATACCTGCTCGGCAGAACGGGGGCTCCTCCCGCAGCTGAAACGAATCCGAAGCCCTTGACGCCCTTGTTGGCAGCCTCCTTGGCGAGCAGGATGGCACTGTCACGGTTCATCATCTCGTAGGTCAACTGGCTCGCGCTGGTCGGAGGACGGATCTCGTCACCGGGACGACGCTCGAGCGGGTTCGGGGTGTGGCGGGGCGAGAAGGCCTTCTGGAGGCCAGCGAGGGGGGATTCCCGACCGGAGATGACGCCCTTGTAGTCGGCTTCGAGGAGGATACCCAGAGAGTGGACGACGTAGTCAGCACCGTTCAGGAGGGCGATCCATTCGGTGGGGCGGAAGATGTCGGCGCGCTCCCAGGAAACGGCGGTCGACCAGGAGGGAGCGGAAGGGGAAGCGGACACGGAAGACCAGTTGGGCTGGCCGGAGCGACTGGAGGGAGGAGAGGTGGTTAGTTCAGATTATTTCCATGGTGCAATGTTATGTCGCGGAGGACAGTTTTCGAGCATGGTACCTGATTGATGTCACATCCCATCCTCTGTGGACAGCGGCCTGGCAAATCCTGGATCCGAGGAAACCGTTGCCTCCAGCGACGATGAGCTTCTTTGCGGCGGACGACATGGCGATGCTTGCTGCTTTGAGGGTAAGCACTTAAGGGGAAGAATACAACTCAAACTATAGCTTGAGCAAAACTAGATGATCAACGTCGGAAGATATGTCTTGAGTTGGGGGTCCTTCTCAGCTACAAGCTCAAGCTTTCCCCCAGGTTCTCTATGATCCGTAGAAGTAAACAATGGAAACCCCAGCCGATTGCATCATGAGGAGTCCCGATCTGTTATCCGAACTCGAAAAATCCTTATCGAACGATCATCTACAAGGATTGCATCGATATTTTGCGATAAATTCACAGGGGCCAGGCCCCGCTAAACCCCAGAGGGAAGCATGTCTGCCCCGCATTCAAGGCTGGAACACGCCCGCGACTTTTTTCTCCATTCTCTCCTGCAGGTACCTTGCTGGTCGTCCCTTCTGTAATCCCGTAATCATTATTTTGTTCTTTTTGCGCCCTCATCCCTTTTCTACCTAGTATTTGCTCCCATACAACAGCCGTCTCTTCAAACCCAGCTCTGGTATAACGAGTTGCGACCGTACATATATATCGCTATTGCAAAGGCTTAATAAAGTCGCCCGCCGCGCCTCTCGAGACCACTGCGAAGCAGCTCGAATCTCGACATCTAGAGAGCTTCAACCCATTCACAGCCATTCCCGCCAGGCACGATGGCACCGCCCACAGGAAAGCGCGTCAAGGGCGTTCAAATATTCCGACCCTTTGTCTACGGAACAACAGCACGACCCTTCGACGAAAAGACAAACCCCAAACCGGCCGGCGTTCCAGATGATCACACGCACTCCTGGACCGTCTTCATCAAGGGCATTGACAATGTCGACATTACCTACTGGCTTAGGCGCGTTCAGTTCAAGCTTCACGAGTCCATCCCAAATCATGTTCGCAGTACGTCCCTACTTCTTGATCCTCTTTTTCCCCAGCATCAATCCTCGAGCCAAGCTAATCATCCTCTTCCCCGCATCGCAGTGGTAGAAGGAATCAAAGGCCAACCCTTCCAAATACACGAGACCGGCTGGGGTGAATTCGAAATCACCATGAAGCTCTACTACGTCCCCGAATCCTCCGAGAAGCCCCAGACGCTCTATCATCACCTGCGGCTGCACCCGTTCGGCCGCACCGAAGAAGAGAAGGAAGCCATGCGCCTCAACGGCGGCGAGGTCATCTCGTGGGTGTACGAGGAACAGATCTTCAACGAGCCCTACGAGCCCTTTTACGACATCCTCATCTCGGGCGCGCTCCCACCCTCGGCCCCGACGCTAAAAGACGGCGGCGGTGGTGGTGGTGGTAGTGGTGCCGCGACGCCGACCAGCGCGAACACGCCCGGGGCGAGCAGTAATAAGGGTGGAAACAAAAAGGGTCACGAGAGGAGTCACTCGCGGGCGAGTGTGAGCACGAACAAGGACGGGAAGAATAATGAGCCCAAAGAGGAGCCGTTTGTCATGCAAAGGTCCGAGGGAGGTGTATTGGAGCGGAGCGCGATAATTCCGCTAGTCAATAGGCCGGGCCATCCGTTCAGTCGGGAGACGGAGCAGTTGGAGATTCAGAAGCTCAAGGAGGCGATGGTGAAGGTGGATGAGATGAGGAAGCATATGCTGGAGGAGATGGAGAAGAAGCAGAAGCGGCTCGAAGCACTGAGGGCGGAAAACGCAAAGGCTGCTTAGAAGGAGATCCAGGAGCATGCAGCGCGGAGGGCCCGTCGGGGGCTGCATTTATTATCATACGACTCGATTGGGTCGAATCAAGGGAGTTATGGCGTACATGGGTGTCAAAGAAGCTCGGAGCTATATATACATTGCTAGACTTTTGGGTAGGGGATATGGCGTCTTCCATCGTTCATCATTAAAGTGCGCTAAATAGAGTGCGCTAAAACCAGCACCGAACTATCACGGTCACCCTTGACCATCGTGTCACTTGACCATCGCACTCCCCTTAAACCCAACAACAACCTTGCGTCTTCTCAGCTCGCCTCCTCGCCCTCAACCTCCCTCAAACACCTTGTCCCAACCCACGGAACCTCCATCCCCTCATAATATCCACCCTCCTTCAACTCCCCCTCCAACCCCTTCCAGTATTCCAGCTTAGCCTTCCAATTCTTCTTATCCAAGTCCGCCAGCTTTGCTTCCACCTTTACCTCACCCTGCGAATCTTCCGATATCCTTACAAAACAAGTACAATCCCTCAACGTCATGGCCAACGCCAACTCCTCCCGATCCGTCGTCCCCTCCGGCGCCGGATCCAACCTCTCTTGCGCGTCGCGCAGCTTGGGCAGCAAAGAATTGGTCTGAAGCCAGCGAACCAGCGCGACACGGTAACGCTCATCCACCTCCTCGATCCCTTCGTCGCCATCGAGAGAGACAGCCGGTTGCGCACCAACAGGGTTCTCCTTCGTCGCTGGCGCGGTTTCTTCAGAAACGGAAGTAGCGGAGAGGTTCATAGACTCGATGACGCGCGCTAAGGAAGAGGGCGAGGATTGAGCGGCTAGGTACTCGAGGGGGCAGAAAATTGAGTTCTCAGTGAGAGCAGCAGAGCCCTGGTCGGATGAAGGCCTGGAGGAAGATGCGGAGCGAAGAGATTTGTGTAGGCGGTAGGCTTCGCGCGCGCAGTTACGGCAGCGCGTGGCGGTGGAGGGGGCAGTAGGTGAAGGGGTAAGCCATTTGGGTTTGAATTCGAGGAGGAGGTCTGTAGGTGATTCTTGTGTTTTTTTTTTTCGTTAGTTACCTACACAGAGGAAGAAGGGAGGGGAGGAAAGCGGAAGGGGTGAAGGAAGGGGAAAACAAACTCTTCCTCATGTCCTCAACCAACATGCCATACTCCGCCTCGGCCACCTTGGTGCCCTGGAAATCTGCCCTTCGCTGGACGTCTTCAGTTCCAAGAACCTCATTGAGCTGTGAGACGATGGAGTTGTCTAAACGGACAAGGTACTGCTGCACTAGATCTTCCTGGGGGTTGTCAAAGAGTGGGCTGATGGATGACTCCCAGTACTGAAGGATTTGGGGGTGAGGGAAGGCTTTGGTGTTTGCCTTTGGTACTCGTAGGAGTTTTCCTGTAGATGATGTTAGTATTGGAGTCTTGAGTGGAGGATGGGGTATGAGAGAGAATAACCTTGTAAGATGTTCAAGATCTTGCTATCGCCATCATCTTGTGTGATCGTGACGTCTTCATGGGGAAAGATAACCTCGAAGACTATGTTGGCGGCGCCTTCGCCGATGAACTTGAACTGGCAATTGGTGCCTTTCAAGTGGGCTAGGTCTGCTACCGGTTTTAGCGACATGATTAATGTTTACTATAGTGTATTTTGTCTGCGAGTGGACAATCAGTCTTGGTTGGCTTATTGTTTCTGCTGGTGTTTCGATGTGATTGACGATATGACGTTGAAAGGAGGACAGGTTTGAGCTCAGGTAGGAATCGTTTGGGCTAGCGGCAACATGTAGGGGTAACCAAAACACAAACAGGCGCAGCTACCTCTTCGCAGCAAGTGACGCCTTGGCAATGATGCTATTTACGAAAGGGCGACCCTGAGGATTCCAAGATCTGTGGACTCGGTGAAGCTTGAGCTGCAGTATGTTTGCCGCCGAAGATCATAGAGGAAACAAAAGGAGTTCGTCTGATATCATGATGTTATACGCCAAAGACCATTAACTCTAATTCTGGCTTGGTCGTGACGAAGTCCCTGGCCTGTTTCTATAACCCATAGTTCCAAAGCTTTTTGATTCAAGAGATGGATATGAAGGAAGAAATATTGCATGCATCTACTTCAACCACAGCTGAAGTGAGAATTGGACATTCGGCTCGATACAGAGCAGATGCGATGTGTGCAACGGCGTTACAAGTACAGGGTACTGTAGGTGTTTGGGGAACCGTTACCCCGGACCCCGGAAGATACGGCGTCCCACCGACACCGGAACATCGGTTCATCTTCATGCATCCCTGCCCGGTGCCCCGGTCTCCATCTCGAAACAATACCCCAGAAACCGAGGCTTCCCGAACGTGACGGTCCTGCCGACGAATCCGATAACGACGGATAACGGACATGATTCTTGAGTGTCCGACTGAAGACCAAAAAGTCAAAGAAGTGTGAAAGCACACGATAAGTTACCCCTCACGGATATCAACGGAGTGGTGTGTGTCTTCTCTCCACGTCCACGGGGTCCAAGTCGAAGGGGCCTCCGGGCTCTCCCTGGCTGGTGAGGCTTACCTTGCCCCCGCCTCCGCATTCCCGAGGTCTATCAGGCCCACTTGAAGGGCCCTAACCGTTCAGTCCGCTCCAATGACGGCCGAGACATTGGTTCGTCAGTGAGAGGATGGCTGGATGGGATCGGTCATCGAGGATTGATATGGGACGACTGGCGGTTGGATCGATGTGCCAATGCGATATGCCTTGACTTTGAATTTGCATTGGATCATTTCCCCTCATTCTCCTGAGCTGTCTTGGTGGGAGGCTCTGCATCGTCATTGGCGAGGCCGCTGGGTGGTAAAAGTGCCCTTGCGTGTTTCCATGTTTCCAGCTGCTTCACGACAGCAGGGCAAGAGCGCACTGCATCCATCCCATGGATGGCATCGAGTCCCTTCCGCAGAGCATCCGCATCTTCCATCTCCCGCCCTTTCCACTTTCTTTCTGTTTCGCCAACGGCTGAACGACCTGTACCGGCCCCGATTGAGACACTGCTATCGTGCGGTTGCAGCTACCTAGAGGTACCTTACCGTCCCTGCATTGGGCGTGTTTCAATGCGTGCCTGCTGGACTTAATGTCGTGTCTTATACCCCTTCATGTGCCTTCATTCTTCTTGACCGCTTCCATGTCTTATGCCAGTGCAGACAATTAATAAACAATGCTATTCCTCAACCAGTCTTGATTGAACGACAAAACGCCTTCCACGCGGTTCGATTGATGAGCACGAGTTGAGCATCATATCAAGTGCCCGTTGTAATGGACCGCTCCAGCCAATCGACCCCAATGTCAGCCCACTGAAGGGCTGCCAAGTGAACATCAGTGACAGCGTCAGAAGGTCCGGTGCCACCCGCACTGCTACTCCCAAGCCACACAGCGTCCCACGTACCACCTGCCGTCCACCTGCACCCTCACACAGTCACACTTGCCTGCTTCTGACTGCACCAAGCAGTCTCTGCAGTGAACGAAGGAGCGACACGCGCGAAAAATTTCAGAAAAGGGCCCGCCCACAAAATAGCGTCATGGTCATCCCGTCTACATCCTGACTCCATTGTAATCTCCAACTCCCGCCGACCTCAACACCTGAACATACCTACCTACAGCACCCGCTACTACCAATTCCGTCTACCACAAACAATCCTCTGCACCAAATTACACAACCTCTGACTCCCAAGTCTCTTTTTTTCCGCAACAACCTCCGATCGGAGTCGAATATTGTCACCACTGCGCGACCGATTCCGAGCGCATCGTCGAAGGCATCGTGTGCATCCCGAGTCGCATTCCGAGTTCCGTCATTTTGCTGGCATTTTGGCCAGCAATTTTCGACCCGCCCCCTCCGCACCGACGGAACCGACCATCTTCAACACCCGTCTCCCGATTGTCATGTCTGGTTAAAGTCAAAGCCAACTCAACATGGCCTTCAACTTCAACTGGTCGCCGCTGACGGCCGACGCCGGCTTCTACGAACGAGCACGCGACCTCCTCACGACAGCTCTGAACAAGTCGCCCAAACCGCCCATCATCGTCGATGACATCTTCGTGACCGAATTCAACCTTGGCTCCGTGCCGCCCGACCTGGAGATTTTGGAAATAGGAGATTTGGCAGAGGACAGGTTCCGCGGCATTTTCAAAATGTGCTATTCCGGCGACGCCTTCTTGACGCTGGCAACCCGAGTGCAGGTATGGCTTTTCCAGGATTTCTTGTCATATGCTCCCTCGCACCATATCGGAGCTTTGCTTTTACTTT